TGAAGAAAAAAGATGAATTTCTATGGATGTTTTTGGACTATTGAGGATTCAACTAGATCACTATTAAAAATAGGTATCATCTACCTTTGGTTTTAAGCATTCTTGATCAACTAGATTAAGTAAAGATTTATACAAAAATAGATCTAGAAGGAGTATATAATTTGGTACGCATCAAAAAAAGAGGTGAATGGAAAACTACGTTGCGAACCAAGTATGGACATTTTGAATATAATGTCATGCCTTTTGGACTCACAATTATACTAGCTACTTTTTCAACATCTAATGAATGATGTTTTTGTAAGTTTCTTAATGATTTTGTCATTTTTTTATTTTGAAAACATCTTAATCTACTCTATAAATATAAAAGAACATGAAGTTTATATTTGTTGTATATTACAAAAACTTAAAGATACAATATTATGTGCCAAATTAAAAAAGTGTGTATTCTATACTACTCAAGTTGACTTTTTAGGATACATTATTTCCAACAAAGAACTAATGATAGATCCAAAGAAGGTATAGACTATTATAAATTGAAAGGCTCCAAGAATAGTAAGAAATGTACAATTTTTTTTGGGCTTTGACAATTACTATTGGATCTTCATCAAGAATTTTTTTCAAGTTGCAACTCTACTTATATGTTTGACTTGTAAAAACAAACTTAAGTGGAATAAAGAAGCCAAAGCATCGTTTGATACTTTAAAAAAGGAATTTATTTTTGTACCAATCTTGTATCATGTTGACATTTTTTAGGTATTTTTTTATAGAAACAAATGCATCAGAATTTGCCTTAGGTAGAGTATTATCACAAATGGAAGCAGATGATAAATTGCATCTAGTAGCTTTTTATTCCGGAAAAATTTCAACAATCAAGATTAATTATGAGATCTACAACAAAGAGCTTTTTACAATCATGGATTCATTTCAAGAATGGCATCATTTTTTAGAAGGCACCTTGAATGTAGTCATCGTATATACAAATCAGAAGAACCTCAAATATTTCAAGTTGGCTCGTGTTTTGAATTGTCATCAAACTTGTTGGAGCATGCCTTTATCAAGATTTGATTTCAAAATTACTTATTGATAAAAAAAATATATATATATATATATCAAATACCTTTTTTAGACGTTTTTATCTTGCACTAAAAGAAGAAGATTCATCTTTTAATCAAAAAAAAATAATTCTCTTGAAGCATGAGCATTTTTATCTTTGAGCAATAAAATCAACATTGATTGTTGATTCAACCTTTATCGAGTAAATTCAATCAAGTATGTCCTTTGATCCTCTTATCCATGATATCAAGAATAATTCTTTTAAGACTCATGATACTTCTAAATTCAAATTCAAAAATAATCTACTTTATTTTGAGAGACAATTATACATTCCAAAAGATGGGATACAATTACATATTCTTCAAACTGTTGACGCCTTTCTCACAGTTAGATATTTTGGATACAATAAGACTTCAAAGCTAATATCAAAAAAATTTTGGTGGCCTCAAATGTAAAAAGCAGCCAAAGACTTTGTACAATCATGTGATATTTGTTCAAGATTCAAAACTCCTCGTCATGGACCTTATAGACTTCTTTTGCCATTACGTATTCTAGAACAACCATGGTCTTTTATTTCTATGGATTTTATCACAAATCTTCCACTTTCAGGTTTGTATGATTTTATATTCATGGTAGTTGATTATTTTATCAAGATGTCATATTTTGTACTATGTACAAAAATTATCATAGGTGAAAAAATGGCTAAGTTTTTTTTTAACATCTATTGCTATTACAAATTTTTTAAAGATATTATATTAGATAGGAGGACTCAATTTATACTAAGATTTTAGAAAATCTTTTTTAAGATTTTAAAAATAGATATAAAGCTCTCTTTGGCTTTTTATTCTCAAATTGATGGGCAAACGAAATGGGTGAATCAAATTTTGGAGCAGTACTTTAGGTATACCATCAATTATCATTAAGATGATTAAACAACTCTTTTACTATTGGCAAAGTTTTCATACAATAATTTGATACACTCTTCTATTCTATAAACACCTTTCTTTGCTAATTATGGTTATTATCCATGATTTGATACTTTTAACTTTTTAAAAGTTGATAATCCTATAGCAAAAGATTTGGCAAATTGTTTGTGAAAGCTACATGCAACAATAAAGGTACAATTAAAGAAAGCTCAAGAACAACAAAGATTAATATAGATGCCTATCACAACGAACAACCGCAATTCAATGTAGGTGATAAGGTATGGTTACTTTGTCGCAATATCAAGATTACTCATCCTTGTAACAAATTGGATAATTATAGGCTTGGATCTTTTCCTATTTGTTAATAAGTCAATCTTGTTGCTTATCAATTACATCTACCAAAGTCTATGAAGATCTATCCCATATTTCACATATCTCGTTTTGAGCCATATAAGATAGTGTATATCTTCAACAAAAGACAAATACCACTTCTTCCTGTAGAAGTGGATAATAATGAAGAATTTGAGGTGGAAGAAGACTTAAATTCAAGGTGGCACCAAAAACATATTGGAATATCTTGTTTATTAGTGCGGATATGATATTAATGAATGCACAAGGGAGCCAAAAATGAATCTTGTAAATGCAAGAAAGAGAATTGAGGCTTTTCATTAATAACATCTATCCAAACTAAGATAAAGAATATCAAATCTTTGCTATAAAAGAAATAAGATCTAAAGAAAATAACATTCTACCTTCTATCATTCTTTGTAATTTCTATATATTTTTGATGCTAGAGAGATGAAAAACTAACAATCAATAGATTCAACTCAAAAGCTTTCACTTGCTAACTTATCACACAAGACATTGTGATTGTCATAACCTTTAAGATGACATAATTAAGATGAAAATCCTTATGAATGACATGTCTTTTTTCAAATAGATGGCAAGATATAATGTGTTTGATATCACAACTTTAGAAGAGACTCTCGATGTTTGGTAATCTTATTAGAGATGAAAATAATTTCAAAAGATATTTTAAATGTTTTATTTGAAAGAAGTTACAAAAGCCTCAACAACAATTAAACAATAAGGTGGTCTTCTTGCCCTGGTATAGAACACTATCGATGGCTGAGAGGACCTATCAACTATCTTTGAAGAAAACAAAGATCAGAGTATGTGACAAATACAATTTGCCGCATCTTGGATTTCATTAATACATGATAATTACTCCTTGTGGAACTTGTCCTTAGAAAGGAGGGTAATGTCACGGATATACATATTCATTCTAATAAATACATATGTGATTACTTAGAAGTAAGTAAAAGTAAATAAAAGTAAATTAGTTTCATAATACCTTCTAGAAAAGCTTCCTCGAAGCTTTATAGAAGGTATTAAAAAAATTCTATAAAAAAGTCAAAATCCTAAAATGTAAGTCAAAGTTGCTTTATTTTATAAAATCTACTTTACATATTTTAAGAATATAATATTCTATAATTTTTCAATCTTGTGTTGTAATAATAATTTTATTACCACTTATATAAAAAAAAAAATCATCTATATATATATAATTGTTTGATTTTCTTTTGGTTCTTCATATTATCAAAGATAAATATTACTTTATTCTTGGATAAGAATGATTTCAACATTTTTTAAGCTTCTTTTAAGTTCTTTGACTTTATTTGAATTTTAAATTATTCTAAAATGTGGTAAGATATTTTGTAATAATCACCACTACTTTGAACACACTTAAGAAAGCATGAGGCATTATATATGTACTTCACATAATTCAATGTCGCTTTGTTATTATTGACTTACTTATTCTATCTATTTTTATTATTTAATAGTTTATTTTTTATTATCTTATAATCCATGTAAGGTATACTACCATATAATAATTAATTTTTGTTGATTTTGGATTTCTACTAACTTCATTCTTAGATATTTCAAAATCAATCACTTTTACAATAACATGTCTAATAGTCTTATTCATGATTTTCTTTTCAACAACATTTAGTAAAATATTGTCAGGCTTCAAATCATAATGTGCAATGTATTGAAGTAATTAGAAGAAAATAGCCTTTACTATAGTAACTTGCTTGTGATAAAAGACAAAGATTAAAAAAAATAAAGTAGATAGATTTAAAGTATAGAATAAGATCTTAGTATAATAGTAGAGGATCTTATTGTGATATGATAGAATCATATTATTGTAGGTAGGATCCTATGCCAAATGATAAATGTAATAGATGAAATCACAAGAGGAAAAATTGAAAGAAATCTTATGAAGTATTTAATACCTATGAGTAATAAGTTGGAAAAGTAAAAAGCATTTATCTTTGCACTTCTCTTATGTGCAAATTTAATGAATCTTACTTCTTGAATCCTTCTTATTATAATTTTTCAATAAACTATGGATCCACAAATACTTTGTTGTAAATTCAAGTAACTTGAATTCATATTATTGTTGTTACACTTGTATGAAATATATCTTCTTTAATTTTTGCTAATATTAGGATTTATAGGAGCTAATATTTTTTTATTAACATATATAGATACTAATTTTGATCTTTAGTTTTCTAACATTGCTTTGTAGATGTCTTTACTCCTTTATTTATGAATTGATAGAAAGATTTTAAATTACCTTTGTTACTTTTAAAATTCTATTTATTAATCTTGAATGTTTGTTTTTGTTTTTGTTTTTTTTTTTGTATAATATTGTTGCAAATTAAATTAAAGGAGTGATCAATTTGATTGTAAGATTTTTATTATTCTAGATCTTCACCTTCAAAGCTAAAAAAGAGTATTTTAAGGAGTTTAAGGCACTTACAAAAATACAATGTGAATGCAAGATCAAGGTTTTAGATACAAAAAATAGTGGTGAAATTTTAAAATATAGAAAGAAACACATGACCTCTTTTGGATTGCATATGTTACAGTACCACGTTGTACGAGTTCTTTAATGATTTTGTGGTTATTTTTTAAAATGAAACATTGGATAGCTAATTGCAAGATGTAGTAAACTAGTTGCATTGCTTCCGTTCTGCTTTGAAATCAGCTACTTGCAATGCAACTAGCATGGTGTGATAAGCTCCACTTGGCCGGTAGTGTTTCTCTCGCTCTTCGGAGTCATGAGAGGATTTCCAAATTGCCGCACTTAGTGCAAACATTTTTCGGCGACTCATCGTCAATTCGCAATTCTCCTGCATCCAGAATGCTTGCTCTGCCTTCAATGGAATTTGTCTTGTTTAATGAGATTGTTAAATGTCAATGTGAAATTCCGACGCGGGTGGTAACGCCCCTTTTGTTCTCCCTATTCGTATCACAACGTCGAAGCGTGGTTAAGCGTACAACTCCTGACGATAACAAGGAGGAACAAGACTTCTGTTGAGGGAAGTAGACATGGCATGATTTTGCACAAGCGGGGTAGTTAGGTCACTAACTTTGAACTTGTTACACCCGTGTAGTGTGTATGAGTCTCTTGAATGAAGTTATGAAGAGGCAGGGGGGTATATTGCTTCCTTCTTTAGCATAAAAAACTTGGCAGGGACCTAGTCTACACATAGGTCGATGAAGGAGAAGTCAGATTCACCCTTTGTCAGATCCATGCATTTGCTTTGCTACCGAGGTGGTGATTCTTGAGATGGTAGGGAGCCGTGTGAATCCGTTGATTCCTTCACTGTTTAGGGTTTACATGGATGGCATAATCTGTGCAGTGCTACGTCGAGGTTTCATGCACGATTTCAAGCTGGTAGGGGGTTGAGTGTTCGTATTCATGTCGTCATTGAGTAATCTGCGATGTTTTGTTGGTATTCCGAAGTGGATGATGATTGGTGCAAAACCCCTGCATTGACTACCATTACCTTGTAAGCCGAGAGCTTCGTTTGCATTGCACAATGTTGAAGGAGGCGTTTCCTCTCCTTGTAGATGAAGTGGGCATACATGAAACAGTGACAGCATCGGAGGAGCCAGAAGCCCAAGTTTCAGTGGCCAAACCACCATCCACTCGACCAAGATTGCCTGTAATATTCAATAGGCTTAAGACGAAACCACGTCTGAAGGCTGTGAAGCAGGTGATCAATCTATCTTTTGGCCACTTTGATTTTCCGATGCGCCATATCCTTGCAAAAATAAACCTTGATGCCTATTTATCCAAGGAATGAAACATTTTGGCGAAGCTCATGACCTTGAAGCTTGCATGCCGTTGCGATCGGCTGATGCTGCAAATTTTGCGCAGTACCTTGCGTCTTTCGAATACTGGCTCAAGCTTCAAACGAACTTTAATTCACAGAAGCAACGACCTCTTCTACAGATAACGGAGACAGCGAAAACGGTACCTATCACTGAACTCTAGCCTTGGAAACTGTATGTTAATTAGATCATTATGCTGCTTAGACCACTCAATTTCACGGATATTTAGATTTCTTTTCCCGTTTTCTGCATCGACATGAAGCAGTATGAGGAGCTTCCTGAAAAACTGCCTCAACCTGTTCTTTCTCGTGACATGTCTACGTTTATTCAAGAACCTTTAGTCTGGTTCGAATACAACGTTTTCCCAAAACTAACCTTTTGGGAAGCAGATTGTCAATGCACCACAGCCCATCAAGTGCGTGGAAGCTGTATTTGTTGCACTTTTCCTGACGGTACGCTTCTTTTCCTTGAGACATGAGAGCACAATATCCCTCTAAGTGACTCGCACCATTGTCTTTTGTGTCTTGTTATTTCAATGTCTATTAAATAACTGCCTCAAATGCCTGATATATGGTTATGACGTCTTCCATGAAACTTCTCTGTTGTAGGCTGGCCTGCCCGATGTGGAGCGTTTTCCCTTGAGCTTCCAGACCGTGTTGGATGGTCAGGTAGTCTCTCTCAGTTGAGTATGGGTTATGCAGCCGTAATTGAAAGACTGCATGATTCCACTCGATCATAGAATGAGAGGTATCCACCAGGGTGCCTAGTCCTTCGTCAAATGCTTATTAGAACAGAATAGACATCAAATTGTCAGATGCAGCTGGGTAGGGAATTCCAAAATTTACGATACTCGTGAGCTTGTGGTTGTGACCATCTGATTGTGCTCTATGAGCTCAAATCCATCGAAGAATGGTACAGTTAAGTTAATTCAAACATATTGGACCTGGAGCAGGTATATCAACACATAGTGTTGCTGGTGCAATATTTTAGCAAATACGGTGCATTTGGTATAAGCCGCTGGCCTGAATTCGGGAGTATAGACCTGGAATTCAACAGGTGAATGCACAGATGATCAACTCTAGTTTTCAAAAGCTTCGATTGCTACACGGGTAATCCGAAATTCATGAGAATTCTAAGCTCTGAAACACAGTCACATATCAAATCAAAGAGACTAAAGAGTTACAAATCTTTTTAGCGTGCCTGATTTCAAATGATTGTTCAATCGCTCCAGCATGGCCGGTGTTGTTAACAACTACAAAACCGCGTACGAGGAGCAGGGCCATGTGGTGGAGAAGATTCGACTTGGCCTTCCGGTGTGTAGTTCTCCCCATTTTTGAGTTGATTTTACTGGAGAATTAAGGACAATTGACTACTAGCAAAGAATCTCTTGGTTCTTTAAGTCTTGTTCCACATGTTTGTAAATGGCAGGTGCCAAGTTTGTTTTCATCCAGATCGGACCAGGGAGCCCCTTTGTTTGACTAACTCCTCTCTTATCTGATTCACCTTTTTTGAATAAGGAAATGTGACTGGCAGGTCGAGCATAATTTAAAATCTAAAAACTTCGTCTGCTGGCGATACCTTGAACTCGACCTAGAGGTTCAGCCGTGGTCAGAGGTAATATTAGAGTTCTATTGTGTGATAATCTATGAGGATATACAAGAAAACTAAACATGATAGAAAATCTATTTTGCTTTTGTATACTGTTAATGTTAACGCGTGATTGCGGGCTGTTGCTCAATTAGTAGAAAAATTTAGTAACTGATCATGAATTATGTGGTTGCCTGGGAAGCTTAGTGTGTTCAAGAAATAAACTTTTTTGCCGCTAAGGCAAAACGACTCTGGGAAATGTAAGTCTGATAAAGAGTAATGTTTGAATCTGAAGGAAATGTTATGCTCAAGATTGCTCAAGTATCAAACATATTTTACTCTACCGCTGAAGAAAATGCCAATATTTTTGTGCAGATGGGTTCGTTCTGGAAAAGGCGAAGATCCTCGTCAAATATACATTCGCCAAACGAAGAGGCTGCTTGCGAGTCGGGAGTCATCCCCTCCTAAGACCAAGCGTCTAAATCTTGACAGTGGTCTCACTGTGCCGGAACTAAGTTCAGAAGTCGCTGCAGAAGGTGTTGAAAACACAGGAATTCTAGAATTAACTGAGACTCCGAGTATAGAGTCTGGAGAAGTTACTGGAAACGCACTGATAATTTCTAAGGATGCTAAGGAGGTTTCTCCACGAGTTCTACCGAGGGATCTCTGCTCCAATGACACCCGTGTAGCTGTACGTTCTCCGACCAACCATGGATTCTGCGAGCTCCGAAAGATCAAGAAATGGATCAAAATTTGTTCAGTTCGTAGTAAGCATGCTGCTATTCGGTCAGTGAAGAGCAAGAGACCCATGAAAGATACGAGCTCCCTTCCGAGATCGGCACGGAACTCCATCGAGCAACCGCTGGCGGTGAGCCGGTGTCTTTTCGGAATAAATTACTCCAGTGGAACACCCGGTAATGGTGTGACATCAATTGCCACTCAGGGACCCAAGACTAGTTGAAAGATTCTTACAGTTCGTAGCACTGAGTTGGTTGTGAGGTTTCCGCGGGAAGCTCCTTAAAGAAATTTCAATGCCGAAATCATTATTCACGGATCCTAGAGTGTTGCATATTAGGTTACAGCCCAATTTCTCGGTAGGTTACGAATTAGGTGCTTTATCTGGTGCAACTTTCTGACTACGAACAACTTAAGTAGGTCTGCTTTTCCTTTTTTTATTTTTCTTTCTATCTTTTGCTTCGAATGGTTGGAGTATGAAGGCTTCTAGTGAAGCATGAAATGCTGCATTCTGTTGCAGGTATCGACGGATCAAAGACATTCTGGGAGTGTCTCAGAGCATTGTACCAATCAAAAAACGAAGCAAGGTTGCTGCTGCTCAAGAACAAGCTGGCAGATATCCGGATGGAGGGACCGCTGGTGGAAGAGAGTTACCGTGTCGTCCAAGATATATTTCAACAGCTTGTGGGCATTGGAGAAGCGATTGAACGCAGATTGCATGGATTTGAGGAAACGATCAACTCACTTTCTGAAAACTTTGACGCAGCGGTCCAAAATGTCGACAGCCAGCAACTGCTCCACTCTTTGAAACAGATCTCACAGCAGCTGGTTGAGGTGCAGAGCGGAGAATTGCAGCCGATAACAATACTTAAGAAAGAAAAGAAGAACATTATACCAGCCAGGAAAATAACATCAAGGAAATTGGATCCTCGCTCTAGTTCCCGAATACAGTACTGCTTACCGCCATGCAACTGGTGCAGACAGCATGGACACCGTATGCGCGATTGCGAAGATCTTGACAAAGAGATTAAAAGACGAGTTCGGGAGTACAAGAATCGCATGAGTCCCACCTCACCAAAAAATTCCCAAGAAGAGCCCAATCATACTGAATTAGCGACAGAAGCAGAAGTAAGATCTTCAGAGTTCACTGGCAAGCCTGATACAAGCCTAGAGAAGAGTAAGCAATCCAAAATTTCGGAGGAGGCAGGAGGTCCATCAGAATGGAAGACCCCCATAGAAGTTGCTTCACAGGGGCCAGCTTCTTTTAGGTCCAGTACGGACCAACTTATCTCGCTAGCAGGTCTGGAAGGAATGGTGGCAAAAAAGAGGAAGTTGTCTCCAAGGAGATTGGACATGAAATTGATGCACTTGTTAGAGAGACCTCGCAACGCGTCAGACGGACGAGGGAGGGAATTCAGGATCATGACTCGAAAAAAGACACGCCGACGGAAAAGGTACTGATTGGTACTGGTTTTGGAACTGATGGTAAAAGACAGATTATCGACATCGGCGGGCATAAACCAACGAGGGGGGTTATTGATTCATGTGTTACTGCTCATATGTGTCTAGCAGCTTGTGACAACTCTTCTGGACTAAAACGTCATTGTAGATATTAGCTAATTTGCAGACGGCCTGATAAATACAACTCATGCAGAATTTCTTGTTTAGTAGTTCAACTTGGAGAGTAGCCAAAAACTGAGACTGGGTATGACCAGCAACATGTTCTGGAGGCCGACGTGAAGTAGATTCCAGACGTTAAAACAATTTGCACTTTGAGATAATATTACAATCCTCGTTCTACAAGTAAAACCCGATAGAGTTTCTCTGCTTATTGAAAATCCTAACCTCATGAAACCTCCAATTCACCCCACAAGACTCTGTCTATATACAAATGGTTACACTATGCAGATGAAGCAAATACATTCAACTTCTATGTATGCCGAGCCATAGCAACAGCGCGTCGTTCACGTGCTTGCGCACGCTTTCTAGCGGCAACGTCAATAGCTCTGGCCACTTTTTGCCTTCTCCTCTCTGCATAATCACACAAAGCGCTCACAAATCAACAATCTGCATCCCTGACATGTCCTAAAAAGGAGATGGAGAGCCATCAACAAACCTAGCGAAAGATCTATCAAATCATGTCTAGAAACTTGAAACCACGACGCCCTGCGCAGAGACATATTCAAAAGGAAGCTAACAACCTGGAACGGAACGAGCACACAAACTGGATCCAACAGCATCGAGGGTGTTGCAAACTGACCTGTAGCAGCCGCCTTCATATTCAGGATGCTCTCTTTGGCAGCCACTCTTTTGACAGGGTGAGTCGGGTGCTGCAACCGGTACAGCTTGAGCATGACATTCGCACGGAAGTGCGTCATCTTCTCGGACATTTTGGCACCCGCGATGCTCAACTTCTGTCCCGCATTCGCCCTCATGTCAGTGAACTTCACTGCAGGGCTCACCTTATTCTTGGCCACCCCAGTTGTAGCATGCTTCTGCTTGCGACCTCCTGCAGTCTTCTTCGTCCTCGCCATTCAACACCCGGAATTCTAACAACCTGGGGATCTTCTGCAACTCACCCACCCACCCAAAATAGGATTTCGTCAGAAACTCCGTCACAAAATCAGCGCCAACTATGCACACTATATGTCCACACGCACCTTTAACATCTCAAACATCGTTTATAAAAACAAAAACACACACACACACAAATACACACTTTCCCATGCATCTGATTCTGACCCAAAAACCGACATACTAAATGGAAAAACTCGTGAAAAAAACACACAGGAAACTCTGATCAGTCAGCACCTGCAAAAAGGGATGACCCGACGAGATGAGCCAGAATGCAAACAAAAAGCTTAAAATTCGGTAACAAATTGCGGAGACTGATGAGTTAGTTAAAGGTGGGGCTTACTTATTACCACCCTGACGCGCGTCGAATCTCACCCTTTGGATTCTTGGGATCCACGTGGCCTCTCTTGCGTCGTCCGATCCCTGACGCCGAAATTTGGTCGACAATCTAAACAATCTAGTCGTCCAGGTGGCAGCGGACTCGTACGCGTGGCGAGATAGGGTTGGTTGTACAGTTGGATGACAGTTGGCAGGATTAGGCGCTGCCTCGTCACTTCCCGGGAGATATGGTTTATTGGCGGCCGTCGATTCCGGTCGGGTTTGATCGGAAGGATGAGGATGTCTTGGATAGAATCTGTCGGGTTTTAATTTTTAATTTTATGTCAGTCAAAAATCATATGTGGGATTTGAACTAATCAAATATATAAATATAAATATATATATATATATATATTGCCTTCATAGAAGTGCTTCAATACGTTCTGATCCAATTGTCTTTCAAAGCAAGTGTAATACTTAAACCAATTCAGTGTGTCCGTGAGATGGAATAAAACCCCAAATCTATATACAAGTCACCTAACGAATACCAAGTTAATCATAAGGTTGGTCATTCATCAATAATAAACTATGTTTTAATGAGTATTTTGCCCAATTTGCAGTGTGCAGTGTTGTTGATGTTGTCTGTATGGCAGACCTTGAGAACTTGTAGACTAGAATATTTGTCATGCATTAAAACATAATCATCAATATGCCCAAACAATGAACAGAAAAAGAGAATGAAATAACTTGTCCCTGGATTGACTGCTATTCTGAAGAACACCGAATGAATGAAATATCTTTACAAAGTCCACATGAATCCGAACATGGAAACACATTTTAACTTCCCTGTTGATTTGCGATAATTTTTTTTGCATTCAGGTTGCAAATAAAGCAGATGCACGCAACGCCTGGATGACTAAACAGGAAGTGAGACACGATGGGAATATTTCTTCACATCTTCGAAGGAATTGGGTACAATGGCCACTGAAGAGCTTCCCAACAGAGGTTATTGCCCTTCGTGAAGTGACAGGAGATGAATGGATAGACGCATTTCTACAACTCAATACAAGCTTTCTGCACTACTTGATAAGCTTCATTAGGAACTTCCAGGAACAAAGATTACCATATCACGGAAAGCTGACAGGAAACTGAGGTTGTGCTTCACATATGAAAGATGATGTTAACTCCAAAATCTCACGTTCAAAGGGGGGATGATTTGGTCACAGGATCTACCAAAAAATCTGCTGATAATAGCCCTGAACTGATAGGAAGAACTTTCTCAGTAAAAACCTGCGTCAACCGTTGAAACAGTCGAAGTCAATGCACATATCGTGATTCCAATGCTGAAGCTTGTAAAGCAAAACCTTGTTATCCTGTGCATAAAACAATACAGAAGACGTCACTGAAAGGTTGACTCCACACTCTTCACTTACTCTGACATAAGCAGGATGTTTGCTGAATGTGGTCAAGGCCTCTTCTGCAGTTCAGTGGATGACGTTAATAAAATAATCGTGGAATACGCGCTATCTCAAAGCTTTAATCACATTACAATTAGAGTGGATTACAACTAAAAGATCAAAAGACTTTCTTTACTTTTGACAGTGATACCACTTGAATTCTTCACATAAACGTTGACGTGAGAGAGAAATGCGCCCAGACACAACATGAAACTAAAAAGTTCGTAACGCTGACCTGATGGTACCCGCACAAGAACTCCGTGTGTGTAACCTTTATTGCGATCAGATAGGTTGGTACCTGACTCAAAGACATCGGAATTTGTAACTAAGGCCTTGCTTGGATACAAGCTCGAGACACAAACATACTAAGTGCATCAAGAGCGCAATTAGACAAAAGAATTTTAATCTAAAAAAAGAGGTAAGAGACCCAACCAACTCCTTAAATTACCAAATGATAAAAGAGCAAAATGATTAAAAAGACGATTTCCATGCATCGATCTAACCTGCGGTTAGTTGAACGATGACTGATGGACCGATTTGTTGTGGCAGTGCATTGAAAGCCTCAATCATCCCTTCAGTTCCGTCAAGTATTGCTCCTTCTCTTACTTTTATCAAAACCACATGCTCTATTCCTTGTTGAAACCTCTGCCAGACCAACTTCATCCTGTGATTCTCCACTCAATCTAAATGAACACTTGGGAGAAGATTCTAAGAAACTAAATGATCACTAAGACGGGCGGAGAAACTGACCAGACTATCCTGAGGGGAAAATTTGTAATAAACTGCTGGCGAAAAATCAAGCCCCCTTAAAACTAAACCGTAGAATTTTGCAGCACCGTATAAAAAACTTCGTAGTCAAGCTTGAGAAATGGCTCAGAAGTTCACGCACTATACTTCAATCAACCTCATACTTCGCAACATACAAGATCAGTCCTCATAGTTGTAGGGCGTTCAAGCGAATATTCGGGCAGAGGAGTCAGAATGCAACTTACCTCACCTCGCCTGAAGAGTGGTTCGAGATCATCTTCAACCTCTGCTTCAAAGTCTGCCACTATGCGTCCCTGCAAGTCTAATCAAATTAGAAGGTTGTTGATTTAACTTCAGATAAAACGAGCCTGGCCCAAGAGAAATGGCGAAGGAATTCTACCTTGCAATACGGATTGATGTACTTCTCAGCCACTTGGAGACGAGCTGGGTGGTCCATATACTGCTCCAGCGCTTCGAAAGATGGGAAACGTTGAAAGAAAGCGTGGGTTACTCCTTCTGGCATCCTTTCAACAACCCGACCTGAAAGATACAAACAAAACTTTCAGAGTTCCTATAATAAGAAGTTTGTTGATAAAGATTAGCTTGATGTTCAAATGCAACAACAGGCACACAGGCGCACCTAGAGAAACAGCCAATATGCCTCTATAGTGGTATTGAAGAGAGTAAAGATGGTCCAACATGTCCTTCTCCTGTTCATCGGTCATGTCCTCCTCCATCTGAAGCAAAACAACATGCTCCACAACCTTCCTGCGTGGCCCATCTATGTGCCCACCACTCAGACAACATTAACAAGCTATGAATCCCGGCTCTTCTTCATGAAGATGACAACATGTTCGCTGGGTATTTCAATGGTAGACAAAATGATTGACAGAACTATGTGCATCAGGACAAATGACTAGGGCTTAAATCAGAACATGCTTAAAATAAATCCTTCAATGAGTAACATAAAACTCCTCAAACTGGCAAGGCTGTGCAAGAATACCTCGTACCAATCGGCCTCGGTGATTCGTGAAAACCATTAATCGGGGACCGCTCAGCGGCAACTGTGACATTGCTCAACCTCCTTGACGAACTGCCGAGAAGAGGACCATGTTGGTATCCTTTTCTGGACTTTTCTTGGAAACCTGCATTAGCCAGACAGCATTTACAATGTACTCTAGTGCTAACGACAAAGTATTGGTGATAACCATCTGAATTATCTGCAGATTCAAGTTTCAAATTTCAAAAATTCGTGATGGGATTTACAGAAATTTTCGAGATACTGAATCAGTAACAAAGAAATTTGGCAAGCGTGCGCATTGTTTAGAAGGACGGGGTTTCTCAAAAGAAAAATCCCATTGAAAACTATGAAATTCGTTCAAGAAAGCGGAGGACAACCATGACCGAATCTCCTATGAGTGTTCCAATCTGACATCGTGTGATCGAACAAAGAAATATGCCCTAGTGTCTGAAGCTAAACACCAGGCTCCATTTGATCTCCACCCTCTTCGCATATTGTCGTTACCAAAAGAAGTGAATATGTCAATGATTTTGGAAACGTGAATTGCACATTGGAAAGACAGCAAAACCTCATCTTACATCACGAAAGCAAATGGAAGCTTAAAGGAGAGAGCCCTAGAGATTCGTACTCTAAAACTCACAGATCCTGTGTCCATATGGGATGTAGCCCCCATTTTGCCTCACCTACCGGATTCGCTCAAACAGAACATGAGCAGATGTACTGAGAATCTAACGGGGATAGAACTGGGCACTACTTAGCAGATGACTTTGCATGTGCAATTATCACCCCTTAGAAAAATCCCCAACTGCTATAGCTTCTTGTACGTGCTTTTAAGTCATCAAATAACCCTCGTTCAAAATCAGAAACATCCCCAGAGAAGGAAGCGAAAGAAAGAAGAAAAAAGCGGGTATAGAAGCTAGTTTTCGAGGTTCACTTTAAGTTATCAAATCCCAACTCGAATTTAAAATTCAGGTCCAGATTCATTCCAATCGAGCTTATTTCTACACTTTATCTGCATCTCCACGGCAATACGCCGACGCCAACGAAACAGCTCTTAGGTATTTCAAACCATTGACAGAAAGCAGAGAAAATTTTATGCCCCGTTGGTGGCTGTTAGAAATCCCACCTCCGCAAAACGCTAATCACCGATGCCTCCTCTTCACATGACTTCCTAAGCCGAATTCGAAACCCAACTGAGAACCCATAAGAGAGAGAGCGAGCGAGAGAGAGAGAGAGAGAGAGAGAGAGAGAGTACCCTTCACGCAATTCGATCCACTCTCCTCATCCACATTCCAACTATGATCAAGAGATGACCACTCTGATTGCCATTCAAAACAAAACGATGGCATAAATCTGAATAGCATACCTTCCAAGGACATGTGCGTGAAGCGTCTGACGAGTATGTGAGCCCATGAGGGTGAGCCGCTCAAGTGACGAGAATTGCTGATGCTCTGCAACACGGAGTTGGGGACAAAATTGGCAAGCTGTGCAGCCGCAGAGAGCGCCATGGTGTGATTAGAATCCGGGTTTGCGCCATGGCCACACCTCAACTGCTTACTCCAATCTTTTTCCTTAGCCCTTCCACTCATCTTTTCCATCCAAAGTCCACACCCCCTTCCTGCCTCTGCATTGGCTCTCACCCTCCCAAATCTACGTGGACCAGATTCCTACACCATCGCAGCTTATCAGTATTATACTTTTTTGTGCTCGAAAACTGGCCACATGGCTCCCCGATATCTCCTTTCCATACTTCGAGACTCGCCTCTGGTATCAATAACCATTTTTCTAGTTTTCTTTCAGAATCCCTAAAGAGTTTGTCATGTATTTTGGCTATTTTGTTGTCGGGTACCGAGTGAGTCGCAGCGGCGCTACTTCCAAGCCCCCAAACGGAGCCATTCAGGAGCTTTTACACCCTTACTGTTGAGACCTAACTTATTTCCATTCAGTTTCACTGCGCGCGGGTGTTCTGGTTGATTTTGATGACCTTGGGGTTATGGTGGATAAAGTTACTGTAATTTGTAGATTACTGTAATTTCAACTTGGACTCGACTAGATCGCTTGTTTATGTGGAAGTAGAGAGAATTAGTTAGAATGCTTTGGTTTGAGGATTGTGGGCTAGATGGGTTGTTTAGAGTCCCTGTGGGTGTTTACGGGATCAAGCTTTTGACTGTTTTCGCTGCAACACAACTAGCACAAGATGATATGTGCAAATGGCATACTATTCGGCAGAACCCAACAAACTCAGACAGTTCCAATGAACGAGCTAAGTATCAGCCGAAGGTGCATGCAAGCCCACAACCTCCATGGTCCTTGAAACAACGAAAAAGAGAACCGTGTGCTGCATTGACACAAGAAGAGCTTATTCGGGATGAAGAGGCATGAAGAGGACAGAGCGAATCATTAACTAGCATCCCAATTAAATTTACACCTCAACGTCCCCCATGTCCTTAGCTGCGATGATTGATTTACACTACTTGTGCCTCTCAACCAAAATGGAAGGCTAATTTTGGCACCCTGATTCTACTTAGAAATCTACTCATGCTTCTGAGTGCAAAGCGTAATCGCAGGTCCCTCCTCGTTGCGGTAAAATCAATCACAATCGCCGAACATGCTTAATGGCATCAGGAATGAGAAAAGCTTCAATGAGGAGGGAATTAAAAGATTCGCCGCTTCAACGAGAGTAATTGTTCTGTTTCTTCAAGTCAAGCGCAGTGCCTTCTTTAAGCATGTCACTAGCATCAGTCTCCATTCCGAGCTTGCCGAGGGCTGCCGCTTGCATGTAAAACGCGGTTGGCCATTCAGGATGTACATACTGGGCTTGCATAGCATCACGTAAGGCTGCTTCAGCTTGTTCGCTCAGCAAGTAAGCTAAGCTTCGACGAGCGAACACTGTTGGCGAAGTCATGGTGCCTACATCTACAAACTGAAACAACCCCAAATCATCACCAAAACCATGACAGAAAGACCACCAACGACAATGAATAGATTAGTTCTGGACAAGTTGATCTAGGTTCTATATTCTAGAGAATTCCAGAAAGAACGTACCTGCGTGTAACAATCGATAGCCGTCTTGAAATCCTTGTCACGGAATGCCATGTCGCCCTTCTTCCTGGAATTCAGCATGTCTTGCATCTGCTTTGTCCACACCTGGAAAGAGAGCTGCAACATGAATTGCACAGCATACACAACAGGAGGATATCAGTTTCTTTCTCACAACTACAGAGGATAAGCAATGATATGGACTTCGAATGAACTACGTGAGTGTTTCTACTCGAGAAGATGTCTTCAAGGATAGTATGCAATTGCACCAAAATAATTGAACTGAAGAACCTCATTCTCGGCGCCTTCATCGTCCTTGTAGCCAGTTTTCACGAGAATTTCATGCACCGCTGTGAGATCATTTCGAGATATCGCCTCGCCCAAGGGTGACAGCGGGAGGGGCGGAGAAGGCTGATGAACTCCTCTTTGGATCCCCATCAGCGTGTACGAGGGGATTTGCTGCATAGGGTACATCAGTAGTTTCCATAAATTCGTTCAAAGCAGAAAACACCTAAATTCCAGTTCAAAAATAAATTACTCAGAGGTCCAAGGTCAGAGTGCAATGAGACCAGTAGTGAGCTTACCTCTGTTCGACGCTGCAGAGGAGTTAGTGCACTGACAAGCATCTTTGCATTCGGGCGCTCTCGCGGCTCGAACTGCAAACATCGAGATGCGAGTCTGACCAACTCTGTGCCATCATCATTTGAGAATTGTCCTTCAAAAGATGAGTCCATGAGCAGCAACATGTTCTTGACACGAATCAAGTCCAATGCCTGCATTACACGATAATAACCAGTTTACACACTCACTTTTGCAAATCGGCTGAAAGTAAGAAAATCATTTCAGCAAGAGTAAGAAAATTCTTACGTGGAATAGTATGTCCAGGTTTCAATATCTATGCTTAATTCATTAAGTACTAAAAACCCAGCAGATAAGAAAGTAAGTTGGAGTTTTCTTACATGGCTGGGAGGTATGTGCTTCCCACTCAACAAATCTAGTAAAACAGTTCCGTAGCTGTAAATGACACTTTCAGGAGTTACCCTTCCTGCAAAATATCGAAAAATGACCGTCACTGACCAAACAGAATCACGGGAGTTCCAGGGTTCCTCGACCGATTGACTTAGGCAGTGAACATCGATCTTACGAAGACAAAAATATAGCTAACCCACCATTCCCTCACAAGCTCTTCCCAGAAGATGCCCAAAAAGTTGTTAACCTGTTCTCAAGTACTCAGGAGGAGTGTAAGCCAAATTGGTGCTGTAGCTTTTTCCATCTCTGCTGTTCTTCATGAGCCCAAAACAGGAGAGACGTGGGTCTCCGTCCTACAAAATCGTAGAGAATCGTTAATATACTGAGCATTCTATTAACTGCAGTTGAAATCCACGTACTAAGTAGAACTATTTCCAAAGGAAACCCACACGAATCGAAAGAAGATTTACTAAATGAATATATTCTCTGAACTCCGTAATACAAACGGATTGCTGATAGTGATATAGATGACATGATTTAGGTCATTGTTGAGCCTGAATTGGAAAATACCTGATCAAATAGAACCCGGTAGGCATTAAGGTCATGATACAAACGTAGATTGCTGTTGGCACAGTGATCTAAAGCCTGTGCAATATACAAAGCAACTCGCAACCGCATTGCCCATTGCATAGGCTGCTTTTCATCTGTAATTGTTGACAATCCAAGTCTTCAGTATATTTGCAGAAGGTGAACACGTTAAACCAAAAAACTTCAAAGTCCGACAGAAAAGACTGAAAGCACCTCATACCAGATTAAATGACCTGTGAAGGTTTGCGCAACACATTTCTCACAGAAAAGTTAGGTTACAAACCACCTCTCGAAGAAAATGAATTGCCTCTGTAATGAAGGCTTCCACACGACAAATATGACACTTACAGTGAAACAAATGTTTCGCAAGAGTGTCATTCGGCATATACTCCGCAACAAGCAAACGCTCATCACCTTCACAGCAGTATCCAATCAAATTCACCAGTCTCTGGTGTCGGACTTGACCCACCTTCCATGCCTCATCCTGTAAACCCTCCTTCCGCATGATTCAAACAAATAATCCACATCTACAAGAATTCATACATGGCAACACCGAAGGAGATGGCAATCCACAAAACCTTCAAAAACTACACAATGTAAGGGGGTTTGTGCATGCAGGTATCTAAAATACTTCTCATTATCTACAATAGTGTGAAAGGCTTGCTAAAAGATGAGAGCTTAACCATGTGTTCCATTAACGGTAAAGCAATCCAACACAGGCTAGAACAATCGCACCGATAAAAAATCTCAGAAGCAACAACTAAATTCATTGTGATTGTCAAGGAGAAAGACTATACCATGAAACCCTTGGCATCGGGCCAGGCTGCCTTGGGAAAGCGTTTGATGGCAATCCAATGGTTCTGATCCAACCTGCCTTTGTACACAAAATTGGGTGCTTTCTCTCCACTTTCTGAAACTATCTGATCACTGCTAAAGGAATTTGTGGCCACTCTCAATGACTCCAAAGAGAATTCTCTAAACGCTGGAACTGCTTCCGGCTCAACCCGTCGTCCATTCTCAGCACCTACAGTGCCATGAGTATGTCAGATCTCAAGTCTCCGGGCAAAATTTAGTTTTTAGCTTGCTACACCTTGAATTCAACTTATGCTGACATTTTTTCCCTTCGTATGATGTATTTGAACTTTTGAGTTTTAAATTTTGAATTTTAAAGATCTTCTATGAATAAATAATCAAGCAAATATTTCATCTAGTGAAACTTTGTCAAATGTCAACAATATAATGCATGTATCATACTATCGCATTGCGACTTCTTAAGCGTGCGAGTCCACTTCACTAAGCAGCATGTACACCACGTGAAAGAGGGGTGCCAACAAGAGCTTTGAAAAATGAGATTTCATTCATCTCGAATAACCAGGCGCTAATCCAGAATATTCATCAGTAGAACATGTGATATTTGCTGATAAAACTGCTAGATGTGATGATATCACGTGACAGACATTACGAGGGTTCAAGAACAATAAGAGTAAAAAGTTGGATGGAAAATACCTGAATTCGCGTGCTCTACTTCTGAAATAACTGGAGGCAACGCAGAGGCCTCGAAGTCCTTGGACCATAAGCACCCCATTCTATCCCCCTAAACCCGCCAGCGCGTCAAGCTCTTCCGGTTACCGCACCTCGGATTCCTCTTGTTCTCGCCAAAGCACTACGGATTCAAACCTAATCAGCCCACTAAAATCCTTCCTAATTGGTGCAAAAGCGCCATCACCTCGCATACCACCGTGCTCTCATCCTCAATAAGATGCCATGCTGAACAATGCAGCACAACCAACCTTCTAGAAAGCGGCCGGCCGATTAGTCCTCCTCCTCGCTTTTCTGCCTCAAAAATCAGAGCACATGTACGATTATGAATGCATGTGCATGTCTGTTCCAACATTAGCCCATATGAGAGAATTTTCCTGCAAGAAAGGCAGACAGAGACAGTTTGCAAATGACCCACATACACATCAAGCAAACTTTAAAAGAACAATGCTCCTTAGGCCCTTGATCCTTCACCCGAAACTGTCACACTCAAACCGTCTACCTCTTCAAAACCAAAATCGCCACTCTATCTTCTTCTCCGATCCTGCTTTTTCTCACACCTCAAACTTGTATCTCGGTAAAGGAATGAATAGCTATGACTAGTACCGCTGAGGAAGGTACGTCACTTATTCCCTCAAAGGTGACAATCCAAGAACAAGCAAACACCTTCAACTAGGTATTCTGTCTGATCATGGTTGAACCCCGAAAGGCAAATCTGTTCAAAAATAGTCCCGACTTGAGAGAGCACAACCCTTGACTGTACCGCAACTGGCCATAGAGCTATCATATCCTAGACGAAATCTTAATGTTTCAAAAATAAATAAATAAATAATCTTCAATCGCTCTCTTTCACGCTCTGTGTGTGCCTGGTTACGTCGCTCTGTGTAGTACTGGACAACAGTCATACTGTTGTAAGGAGTTACAAACGCCGACAAGACGGCAATGCGGCAGTGAAGAATAAAAAACTAGACGGAAACAAATAAATATCCTGAGAATGGGTTAGAGTTATGGCATGCAACAAGAAACCCACCTGCTGGTGTTACGTCTCTGTGCTTGTTTCCTTCTCCGGCACCACGCGTCCCGCCCCCATCCGGCAGCAGCAGGCGCCTCTCAGCAACTACTGTAACCTTCTCTGTCCCCAGGCAGCCTGCGAAGGTTAAAACAGCGTGCTTCTTCTGCGGCACCTCGGGGGGCGTGCATTGCCAACCTGCAAGCTGCCTCAGGAGGAGGGAGATGAAGCAGGGAGGCATGGGTGAGGCAGCTGTAAGTTAGTATGCAAGCAAGCAAGTACTACTGAGCAAGGGAAGCTGCCTGACACTCAACACTACGCTCCACACGTGCTAACCCAGAGCACCCCAGAACCTCCCTCCCTCGCAGGCACCACCAATTCTGTACAGCAGCAAGCCCAGGTGAGTAAGGGACCAAAACCCACCCCCCTCCCCCCCCCTCCTCCTCCCAACCCTTCACAAAAAAAAAAAAAAAAAAAACTCTTTTAAAAACCCTTAAAAAACAGAAAAATATGTATTCAAAAACAATAAAATATCAATAAATTGAAAAAATAAGTCGCATTGTGGGTCACTATTATTTTTGAGTCCTTAACCCCATTCACCGCCACTCTCTCTCTCTTTCCGTCTTTCTCTCGCTCTCATTCTCCCACTCAAGACACACACACATCCCCCGCTTGTCCCCTCCCCTGCTTCAAAATTGACTCCACCTTCAGCAACATCATCTCCCCCCCCCCCCCCCCCTCCATTGCAAAGCCCCGCTCTGCAGGGCACCCGTACTTTCGAGTCTCGAGAAATCAGATCTGTTCCACATGCAGCAGCAGCAGCAGCAGCAGATTAGTTCCCCACTCCCCACTCTCCCACTCTCCCCGTCGCTCTGCAATTCCGCGGTCCGCGAATCATAAACACAATCACATGGTCTCGCTCGGGGTCCGTCCCTCCGGCTTGCTGCTGCTGCAGCGCGGGTGGATGATCATCACCCAGCTTTCCAAATTGCAAATTGCAAACAGATCAGTCAATTAGTTCCCCCACGCTCCATCTCATTCATTCACATACACACACAAGACCACCACCATCACCAACACAACAACAACATCAACAACAACAGCAGCAATCGAAGTCTCGTATCCTCGCCGCACAGGTTCCTCCTCCCTCCCTCGTCGTCCCCCTTTCCCATGCACGCATGCACTGCTGCTGCTTCTTCTTCTTCTCTTCCTGGACACTTTTGCCTTTTTCTTTTTCTTTTTTTCCCTCCCTCCTCCTACTTTATTCGCGGCTTTTTTCAACTCTTGCTTTCACCTTTCTACTTTCTCTAGGGCTTTTCGTGGTCTTTTGCTTTTTTCTTTTTTGCAAAGCAATAGTTTACTTTTTTGCAATTTGGAGCAGGAGGAGCCCTTGGTGGGGTTGGTTTAGGTCATGGGAACCCACTCACTACTTGAATCCCTTTTTAGGGAGATTAATGGTGTGGGAATTGGGAGTTTATGTTGGGTTTTGGGAGTAATGAAGGAAAGGAAGGAATGTGTGTTGAGGTGCTTTGGCTTTGGAACGACTGACATTGTTATTACAATGTTGAGTTTAAGATTCGCTTTCTGCACCAAAATGTTAAAAAACCAATTGCATTAAAAAAACGGTTTAATATGCGAGTCATTAAGGAGGTCTATAAAGTCCATAAATAAAATAATTTTGCTATGAAAATCGCAAGTGGGTTGATAAAAATGTTGGTTTAATTGTAATTATTTAATTAATCTCAAATTTGTGTCAAAATTTGCAGAGATATTTTAACTATAGAACAAGCATTTATTCAAACTATCACCAGTTATGGAAATTTATAAGTACTACCAAAATCTATACATACTGCCCTTTTTAAAGAAATAATTTTTAATCAAAAAATGTGTCATTATTATTTTTTAAAATAAAACTGATGAATGTTTTTATTTTTACATCTTATTATTTAAAATTATATTGTTCTAAATTTAATTATAACTTAAGAATCTCTATGATTTAATTATATTTTAAAAAAATCAAGATCTTTAAATAATAATACCTCATTCTATGACCTAATTACAATCCTGTAAATAGTACTACCACAATTATTTCACAATTTCTTTTAATCATCTTCTAATCATTGTGAAGAAAGTAATAGCACAATATAGACAAAGATTTAGTAGTAATAATTATTTCTTAAGATGCATTGAAATTAAATTAAAATGATGTATAACAATGCATAAATTAGATAATATTAAAATAACAATAAAAATTATGCTTATCAAATAAAAATATTGAAAAGGTATTAAAAATTTTATTTATCTTTTTTTATATGTAAACAATGTATTAAACTTCCAAATTATATATATATATATATATATATATATATATATTGATTGTTTTTTGAATTTTAAGATTCTGATATAATTATTAATATCAATAGTAATACTTACTTCATATCTAGTTTTTTAAAAAACCATGTAAATAAGTTTTAAAGCACATATATCTAAAATAAAATATTTACTGACAATATATATATATATATTAGAGTTGAAAAATACCATTTATCAGCATTAGAGTTGTCAGATAAACTTGATTTCAACTAATTTAATTGACTTGATCTTATAAAGTTAAATAAAGAAAAAAAAAAATATATATATATATATATATATATATATGCATATATTTATAGCCATGAATAAAAATGATATTAAATTAGATATGATTTTTTTAGAATTAAATCTTAAAAGTTGTTGTGAGGAATGGAAATTGTTATATTAATTCTAAAAATAAATTATAGAATGATTAATTTATTTAAATCATTTATAATTACATAGAAAAATTAACAAGGATTTGAAAGATTAAAGATTGGAAACATAAATAAATAAATAAATAAATAGCTAAATCTTCTTATAATGTATCCAAGAAGTAAAACTTAGTACAATAATGCTTTATGTAATAACTGAACAATAGCCTAATAAGACAAAAGACAAACTAAAATTTCTTTATATATAATTTTGATTATAATAGAATATAAAATTATCTTATCTAATGAGTGTGTTTTGTTTCTGTCATTATGCAAAGTAGAATGTTTTTATTATTTAGAATACAATTAAAATTTGAACTTTTTACTTAGAAAATATAATATAAAATAATGTTTTGGTTTTCGAATTCTTCTTAAAGAATGGATGGTTGTGATTTAGGGGTAGAAGTATTATTTTGCTTAAAAGTCATTTTAACCAAAAATATTTATTTTTCAAAATATAAATAGAAATTGCATCTCTATTACATGTGAATTGTTTTGTTGAAAGGAAAACAATTGGTTATCTTTTAAATATAGAAAATCCTTATTGTTGTTAAAAAAAATTCCTCTAAGATGCAAGAATAGAATTGAGTTAGAATGAAATGTCAATTACATCTTATTATTGAAAAAAACTATAAATTTAAAAGACAGGAATAAGACAAGTAAAACTTTTATGTAGTAGATTAAATAGCAACCAGAAGCCAAATAATTCTAAAGATTACGAGGTTGATATCAAATTTAATTAATAACTTAAGAAAAAACCTGATTAATAAGAATTTAATCAATTTTAAAGATAGATTAAAATGATTATAAACTGATAAAGACAATACAAAAATCAATAGTGATTAGTAATATTTATTCTAATATTTGGCAATTACAATTATTTTTATAAATAAATATACCTTTTTCTAAGTTTTATGATTCTTCTTTAAAATTATCTATAGCTTGAAATGTGATAATGATATTGAAAATAAAAAATAATATTTTTGAATATTGCACACATTTATAAAATTTTAGTTTAATTTTTTAATACAAAATAATAATAGATTTTACTATTGGAGAAAAAAAAAATCACATAGTTTTGCTTAAATAAAATATACTTATATATGTTTTTCACAAGAATAAAAATCATATTAAATAAAATTATCCAAAATTTCTTTTGCAGATTTTTTTTAATGTTTTAACATAATCTATTAATTTAATTCTTTACATAAATTTATTTTTTAAGAATATTTAACTGTGAATTTCATTAAATATTTTTTAAAAATATTTACTAGATCTTCTAACGGTTAATTTTTTTATAAATATAAATGATTAAATTTATTAATATTGAGTTATTCATTTGTGAACTACTCAAAATATGAGCCTCAAAGCTTTGATATTAATAGATGCATACTTTACGGATACCCAAGTCCGCACGACAGAACGCCGCACCCCGTGACCGCTGCTCGTCACCGACTCTGGCTTGATCAAGTGTGTGTGTGTGTGTCTGGAGCTCCATGGCGAAATTCACAAATCCAACTCTGCATTTGGTGCCGAGGTGAGGAATCTCTTTGCTATTTTTTAGTAGCCGCACAGGACGCGTGTATTGCCCGTGTATCGATCTTTTTAGACTTTTTTTAAAATGTTTTAAAAATTTATTATGATTATTATTATGTTGTTTGGTTGCGGCGCTGCTGATCAAGTTTATTATCTGTGGTAGTGAGAGCTGGTTTCTTCTTGTGAGAAGAATTCTAGTTTAAGACGATTGAGCACTTCCTTTAGTCTTAATCCAGGCTGGGATGGTGACTTCAATAAGTGTTCGTGCTTTTTAGGTTAACGAAAGTCGAAGGTAATGGCTCTGATTGCAGCGCACTGTTGAATGGAAGTGACTGTCTTCGTCTGAATGTGAAGTTCTTCCATGGTAATTCTAGACTTGCTACGGAAATTGATTCCGATCGGACTTCCTCCAGCTGTGTTGTTTTACATTTGTTGCGTGTGGTTTGAATGTAGTGTAGATATGTTTTTTGTAGTTTAGTGACGAGAGGCGTTGGCTTATGTCGGAGACAAGAATGAACTACCAAGACGACGACGCTGCAAACAAGTGCAGTAGCGGCAGGCTTTCGAAATTCCTGTTCCACCTCTCCGTCTTGTCTTCTACTGATACGCTTTTACTTTGGAAGTGGCTTATCAGGAACACGCAAATCGGGTGGAGAGCAGTTTTCAGGATCTGACTCCGAAAATGAGGCTGTGAAGGAGTTATCGGATGGTTCTTCTGATGATGGTAGAAGCGATACTAACGGCAGATCCCGGAGTCGAGTGGAGGATAATTGGCTTCAAGATGCTCTCATTGTACTGATGGTGCTGTGCAAGTAGGCGTCTGAGTCGAGCCTAGCATATGTAATGTCAACGATTGTGGGACGAGCTCTTTCTGATCGCAGCGATGACTGGAAGCCTGTGCATAGGAGCACCCTGTGAGTACTTAGCCGATTTTTTGTTCTCTAATTTTTTTTTTCCTTTACTTACTTTTTCTTCGCGAAGTTGTTTTTAGTAAACGTTGACAATTTTGGGCAGGTTACTTGACTTTTGTAAATTTCCTCCCTATTCAGTTCTTTCAAGGTGTGTCCATCAATGGTTTCAACCATGTAGCTACAAGATTAAAAGTGCTTGTAGCTATCTTTTAGTCTCGAGTATAGGAGGTCAGGTGTTACTTCTGAAATTCTTATTTAAGTTTTGTTACCTCATGTTCTTTCAAAAATGCTATGCACGAGCTAGGTCTTTCACTGAAACACTTTTTAAGAAGTGTGGTCGTTTGTTTGAAGAAGCAAGCCTCTATTCAAAAATGCACGTGGTCGGTCAAGGTCAAACTCTCAGTGAGTTGCTTCATCTGCTTTGTGTGCAATGTAAAAAAAAGAATTAACAGGGTACTGATGCTGCTGTTATGATAGAGCTCCATGGTTCATTTTCAGAGCCGGTTGACAAATGTTTCAAGCTGCGCGGATGTCTTAAAACGTCCGACACTCCGTGGGTTGACATTCATTTAGTGCTGTGCGTTATGACTTACTAAATATCCAGATCCTACAACGACCAGCAAAACCTCCTGAAACATGTATTGTGTATTTTTTGAGTCTAATATCTCTCTCTAAAGGATGGAACCTAGTTTGGTGTTTGTTAACCTGCATGAGGTAAATGTTTCCTTATCTTTCTTGAAGCATCTCGTTCTTAACGTGCTGATTGTGTTTATTTTGTGAGGTGAGTGATTTATATTCAGTTTCATGTGACAATATTTCAAAGTGCAAATTCATGACACTGAAGCCCTAACTTAATAACTCTGATTTAGCTATCAACAACTTACATATCCTGACCCAGCGCTATTCACATTTCTGATGCTTTCTTAACGAGAGGATTCTTCTGTGGTGTGGTAAAAATCCTTAGCGCTGCAAATAATCTCCATAGAGGAGCATATCAAATTGTTACTCCTGCATAAGCTTATGCACTGTGAGCATCACGAAGACTTACAAGTCTTTAGGTGATGGACTGCTAATCGTTGTAGTTCTGTTCCACAGTTATGTTACTTCTCGAGAACAACACGGTTTGACCTTTAGTAGGAACATTTGAGAGGCATGAAACTCTAGATGCTTGCATCTTTGCCTACTAAAGGAAGTAGACAAGGTCAGATTGTCCATATCTAAAGGGGTTATAAGATAAATTTTTAAACAAAGTGGCCACAAAGTTATCAAAACGTTGAGAACCACATTTCTCTTACTAAGGTCTTGCAAACTTTCAGTTTTTTACAGGATGAAGTTTGTGCTCAAATCAAAATCGGAAAATTGCTTTGTAAAGATAAAAGCATTCTTCATTGGCAGGTTTTCTTAAAAACTAACTTAAAAATTCCCATATAAAACTCTGAAATTTCTGTCAATCATCAAGAGATGAACAAGAAGGAGGGCAGCGCGTAGTTAAGCTTTCTAGGAGCTCAGGTGTAAATAAATCTTGCTCGGTTTTGTGGGAACTTTTGTAGTGCACTGATATTATACTCCAGGTCGATGTATTGTGGTTCATTATATTCTAGCTACCAATCCTCTCTTTGAGTTGGATATAGATATCTTATTCTCATTAAAAAATTAAAAAATAATAATAATGATAATAATAAAATTGTCCTTCAGAAATAGTAACGAGTCCTTAGTGACGTCCGTGTGTTTTGAGGTTGTGTATCATGGTCTCCAACGTTGTTAGATCATTTAATATATAGAGAAGAGAAGAAACAAGTGCTCCATGACTACTCACGGTGACCGAAGATGGCTTTGAAAGGCGAGTGCAAGTCTATGCATCTTTGAAAAATGTTGCTTGTCACGAGGGTGTAATTGGATGCCAGGCCAGCATCATGTTAATCATGTATTGAGGCTGCATAGAAAGTATGCACCTGCATTAATTCTCTTATGACTAGCCATATTTTTCCGTTTTCTACTTTGTTTGTTGAATCTGTAGTTTAGTGCAAAACTTCCATGTTTCGTTTAATGTTGCGAGAGCCAACTTGTGTGGTGGGTATCACTTTCGAGTGGACAAGACGAAAAGGAACCTCCATGTTTGTTTCCTCGCAACACATTTAGGGTTGTCTTGCAGCTTAGTGTTCGGGTTAACATGATCATAGTCACAATTAAGAACTGACCATTAAACGTCTGTGGTAAACGTTTTCCTGTTCATAGGAATACTGGATGGCACCATCTGCATATTTTTTTTCTTGTTTTTGCAGTAGCTCGATCCTTCTGTCCTGGTCCATCTTTCATTCTCTTGTTCAGTATGCAGAGACAGATGGAGAACGTGAAGAACATTTAACAAGGATGTTCTTGAGCAACTTCAAATCTCTAGTGTAAATCTGAAGAACTATCACAGATTGCAACTGTTCATTACGCCAAGCTAATAAACATAGTTACTTGCTTCGGGGGGTTGAAAATTATGCGAATTCCTTTAGGTGGCGAAGTTAGCTAGGATTCGATGTAAACAACTGCTGAGGAGGGTGTAGAGATATCCGAAAGTAATAAAAACTAGTAAATGTTTAATCAGCATTCCTATGTGTAGTTTCAAAAATGTATCTCTCAAATGCGAGTGACATGAAATGACATATGTTTCGGATTGCAGACCAGGGATTTCGCATTGATCATTGTTTCCAAATGGGCTTTCCCAGAGGACGAGTGGCAGTACGTATTTACCATTTTGTAACGAAGATTTTAATTCGACATAGTGTGGACCACTGCCAAGTCTATTCAGTCCCGTCGTAAGATTAATTTAAACCCAATCTAGAGACAAGACATGGCAGTGAAAATAATTCTAACGACAGAGATCATCTGGTTTCTGAAGTCTACAAGATATTCCGATGTTCAACGATACATTGTTCTCCAGTCTTTATAAGCTTCAATCATATAGCGACAAGGGAAAAAATTATTAAATCTCTACATTTTAAATGCTTCTCTGACACCTCCGACCCCATCTGCAGTACCCTCATCGCACCAAAACTGCACCTGAAGGTTGAGGGTTGTCTGGAGCGAAGCAGGCAATGGCAGGCTGGCGCAGTGTTGAACCTGAACACTCTCTCCCATCCTTCGCAGCTCTTAGTGTAAACGAAGGGAGCAATAGAAGGAAGCCAATAAAAATAAAATAAAATAAAATAAAAACCACCATCACCACTACCACTACCACCACTACCTCAAAAAATCACTCGTACACAACAAATATCAAACAGCTCTTCTTTGCTAAGGTAAAAAAAATTGTTGAAATTCTGCAACTACCTCCAACTAGCTCACGGTACATCATTGACCTAATCCCCTCTGAGACACTGCATCGTGATGGACACTTTTCGCTTTTCTCATTTTGTCTCTTCGAATTACAAGTGGTGGGTTTGCAGCAAAAACATCGAGTGAGCCCCAAAAAGCCCAACAACATGGAGAAAGAGGCAAATACTCGGAACACAGTAAAGGGCCTGCTGCTTATTCCCAACACAGAAAAATCACAGTTTTACCCTAAACTCGCAAAGGAATCAGAGAATATAACTGTTGCAGCGACGACGACGACAGCAGCGACACCTGAGGAGGGACTTTTAGTGATAGGGGGCAGTAAAGGAGGAAGCCTGGAGCATGGAGCAGGTTTCTCGACAGTGCCGGCCAAGCAGCAGCAGGAACCGGGAATGGGAAACCGTGATGTAGAGCCATCCTTGCACTGCTGCTGCTGCTGTAGCATTCAATCAATCAGAAAGCACAACAACAACAACATAAATACACACAGAAACAAACAAACTATCAGGGCCACGCGGGGCCCCAACAGACTCATCCATGCATGCCTGCCCTGCTTCCATTTGCATTTGCTTCTTCTTCTTCTAATGCATTCAATCTCTTGGATTCTGATTCCACAATATGGGAATAACTTAGTTGAATCTACATCCTCTGGGTGTCATCATGTACTGTGCCTGATGTGGCTGTTTCTATACTTGCTTTTGTCTCATAGTTAAAGTATATTTTGTATGGATATATATAGATAGATAGATAGATAGATAGAATTTAGAATCATGGAGTTGTGCAGTTTACATACATACATACATATTGATGTGCATGCATTTTATTTCATTGATGAAATGTAATTTAGAAACATGAATATTTATGTAATAAGGAACTTTAGTTATAAGACAAAGAGATAAAAACAAAAATAAAAAGTCTTTCTCATTGGTTGAAATAAAGAAATCTTATCATTGGTCAAAAATATATGTTATTTTTTTTCACAATGTAAAAATGTATGTTGCCCTCTCTCATTGTATTTTGTCTTGTTGTACCCAACTACACAAGCTTACACTAGTGTGTGTGTGTGTGTATATGTATAATGATATGTATGTAATTGGTCATGAAGTTGTGCAATATAGACATGTGTGTATTTTGTTGAGAAGTTGTGCAGTTTATTTGAATGATGATGATGAACTAATGTAATAGTTGTGCATTCAACTGTTTATAGCAAACTGATTTTGAAAGTGATTTGTTGTTATTAGATTTCTTTTTATTTTTTAATCTTTTTTGGAGAGTTTTGTAACATGATGTAACATGAATATTATTGCTTCTGCTCAAAAACATGTAAATGAATTTAACAATTCCTTATATATAATATCACTTATGGCTACTTTACATACACACACAACCATATTCAATCAAAAAGAGAAGCAAAAATAAAATATAATGAGATACATATAAATAAGTGTAAAATGTGTGTAGTTAAATGAAATAAACAAACAAAGTTCTATAACACATGAATACACAACAAGATGCATGTGTGCACACACACACACCCCAGAACTAGCAGCCCTAATGTAGAGAGTGTGAATTGCAAGGAAACCCTAAAACATTGACTGGAATTGTTGTTATTATTATTAGTAGTAGTATTATTATTAATATTGTAGTTGTGGTGTGATTGGCAAGAAGCAAAGAGAGGGTGGGTGACGTCATGGAGGTGACATCATGAGAGGAGGGAGGGGGGTGGGGGGTTCAGGAGGGGCATGCCATGCCATGCCATGCATACATGCCATGAGCCTTGCCTGGCATGGCATGTGAATAATAATCTGCATGCTCTCAATTGTAAAGAGGGCCCTGTTGCTGCATCATGGTGCCCCCGCCTGCGGATGGATGAATGTGGGCACGTTTTCCCATTGGATGGATGGATGCTTAAATCGATAGATGGATGGATGCATAAATCGATAGATGGATGGATGCATAAATCGATAGATGAATGGATGCATAAATCGATAGATGGATGGATGCATAAATCGATAGATGGATGGATGCATAAATCGATAGATGGATGGATGGGCTGGTGGATGTGCGATCATCCTGCTTCGCTACTGGTCCTCTTGTACTGTGCTTGTCTCTCGCTTTTTCATCCCCGACTTGGGATGAAACCTCTTTGGTGGGTCAACTTTCCAGATGGATGGATGAATGGATACATGTTTTGGATTATGTTTTGGATGGAGGACCTTTTCCTCTACAATGCTGGGAACCCTCAATGCCACCAAAACTCTTTTGGTGTGTAGAATTTATTTTATATTTTATTTTATTTTTGTGTAGAAATTTAATTAAATATTTTTAAATATTTATATTTTTTTGATTATCATTTTATTTCATACATGTATATATTAATAATTATTAAATAAAACATATGCAATAGAGTGTGATTATATATATTTATATACATATAAGTTGGTTGTTTGTGAGACATATGTTTCCAATCTAAAAAGATTCAAGTAAAAAGAGATTATTTAGTTGAGTTTTTGTAGGGTTGAAACTCTCTTTAACATTTTGATTTTATTTTTCTCATAGGATTATAATAATCTAAGTATAGCATGTCGTCTTGTTTGTTGTCAAACATTGTAATTCCTCGGGTCGTCGTAAAACGGTTGAAGCCAATCTCAAGCGGTTGGTTCACAGTGCTTGTGTCAGCAAATATCAAAGGTGGAGCTTCTGGTGGAATCAGTGGAGCGAGACAACAGTTTTCTCTTACGGGAGCTGGAAGGGTGGAAGAAAATGAATAGTCACTTGTACTCTGTGAGTTCGCAATTCATGGTTCCTGAACCGCGTCAGTCACGTTTCTGAAATTCGACTCACCGGTTAGAGTTTGCGGTTGAACGGCATTTGAACTTGTTCTTCTTGTACTCATCTATGGCGTTAAAGTAAACTTGGCAACGTTGTGGTTTCGATCGAGTCTAGTAGACTTCTTCGGGAAAAGCACTGAGCAGTGCACGTGGTGTGATGGTAATGTCTACCTTCCATCTGTGCATGATCGTCGGCAAACTCAATACATGAAATGGGTGTATATTTTTAGCAGAAGTGAAATTCTTGTTTAGCATCATCCACACGGTTGTTTTCATAGTATTACAACGAATCTCTTAGCTGGCTGTTAGCCCTAATCTGAGCTCTAAATGTAGTTTTAGGTTGTGAGGTTTTTGTGCTGTCATCGAGAACTTTATTTCTGCGCACGTCTTGATTTCGGTGCCTGCAGCATTTGAGATTGGTTCCACTTCTACTCACTAAGCTCTTGTGTGTACAGCTCAACAGGTGCAGTTATTTCACCATTGGCCTGCTTTGAAAACTCTTCGCAATTGCTAATGGTTCTGGATTTTACACGCACATACACTCTCCATGCCCGGTGTAGTTTGTTGCAACAAGATTCTTTGATTTGTGTTGTTAACTCAAGTTTGTTTGGTTTCAAATCAAACTTTTGCTCACAAGTGCATGATGATTTCCACAATCTGCTTTCACAGTCTATAATATATATATTTTTTTTCTTTTGGATTTATATTTACTATGCCATTTATTATGTCATTTAATTACTATTAATCTGCAGTAACATAGTAACTAAATTTTGATTTCTAAATTTGTAGTTAATTTAATTCACTATGTTGAATTTGTTATTTTATATAATTGTCAAACCTCCTCATGTTAGTCTTTAAATATAAATATAAACATATGTATATGATATGATATTAAAATTAGAAAAAAAAATACACAAAAAATTATTGTTAATACAATTTAAATTAAAACTGCATATCATGGTTTGAATTTATTGATATAATTTGTATTAAAAGTTTAATACAATCTGCAATATAACATCTTTTTCTTTATGATTTATCTTCAAAAAGATCTCTACAGTATACAGGTTACTAAAATCAACTGATCTTTTTAATCCTGAAGTTGCAAATGTATTGTGCTTAAAATTGTGATTTGTGAGTGCTTTTGAATTACATAGTAAAGACTTGTTACATTTACTTGGCTTATTTTTAAAAACTTGAAAAGTGTTAATATAAAAATAATGAGAATATTATTATTTTTTTGAATATATGTATGTATATATATATATATATATATATTCATACACACACATATACATTAACATTTGGACCTCTTGTTTTCTTTAGGAAATAATATGTGAAAACAATAGAGTTGTAAATGTTTATAGATAGGTAGAAAATTAATTATTGTTGGAGGTTAATTATTGAAATTTCATCACAAACTAAAATAATCAATTACTTTGTTTTTGTTACAAATGTGATAATAGACAATAAAGTTAAAACTTATGGAATGTGGCTCTTGGTATGAAACTTGGACTCCCTCTATCTTTCTAGTGTATTGAGGCATTTGAGCCAAAAATTAGATAACAATTGTAATAAAAAAATTTGATGATCTTATAGATGAATGTACACATAAAAATAAATGATACTTTAGATGAATGCATATAGACAAACACTATTGTTAAATATAAGACATGCGAGTATATATTCTAACAATTGACTTATAATGAGTGTTTTAAAATCAAAATTTTCTTTCAAATCATGGCATTACTATGCATGTTCAAAATTTTCTCTACCAACAGTACTACTACTCTTATTCGAAACCAGAGAATAAATATTTTAATTTTAATTAAAATAAGAGCCAAAAAATACCATTTTATAATTTGCAGCAGAGAATAAATCAGAAAAGTCAAGTGCAAGTGTGAACCGCTTCATAAGAGGCACAGGCCAATAGAGAGAGCAGAGAAGAGAAGTGGATGAATGCAGAGGGCATTTACCGAGAGAGACAACGTCATTCATCCCACCGGCGGGGATTAAGAGAAGTCGACACAGCATGCAAAGCTCACGCAGGCGAAGAGCAGAAAGCAAGCAAGCATGGAAGAAGAAGTCGTCCCAGTGCCTGCGAGAGTCACATGGCTGGTGTCGAGACGGAGACGGAATCCGGACAACAACGCTGGATACAAGTCACCCGGATCTGAAGCAGCAGAAGTAGCAGCAACAATCACAACCATAACCAGCGCGGGGGGGGGGGGGGGGTGGGTCCTGGGCATGGATTCCATGAGATTCGGGCATTCCTATCGGGTGACGGGATCAATGGCGACGTCCTTTCTTCTTCTCCTGTCCGGCATTGCTTGCTGCTTCGGTTGAGAAATCTTGGAAGTTGATCCGTTTTTGGACTGCTCGTACATGGCACGTCATTGAGTCACACCATTCTGTGCACACTGCTCTAAACTCATCTGGGTCCCTACATTTGGTTTCCTCCATTTTGAGGCAGAATCTGTAACAATTTTTGAGGCAGAATCTGTAACTCGAGGTTGGAAATGCTAGCCCTAACTGGCATGTGATTTTACCCGAGTCCTTTTTAGCAGCGAGCGTGTGAGAGAGAGAAAGAGGACAGTACCGGTGCTCATTCGCGGAGTCCAGAAGCAGCTTGGTAAAGTTAGCGCTGAAAAAACAATTGTAACATTAAATGATAAGTAGGGGATCTCAAGTTACACCTCCACATGTTTCAATCTTAAGCACTGGCTATATTCTTGAATCTGAGTTCGGGAAGCTTCCGAGCTGGTTCCGGGACAGCGGTGATTCTAGAATCCCGCCTGCTTGCCCCATCACAGGATTAACCACGTCAGCGTCTACCGTCTGCAGGGAAGGTGGCGGGACAAGAATGAACGGATTCGAGCCAAGCACGAGAACGAGATCAAAGAAATCGGCACAGAAAGACGGGAAATCGAGCGAAGAAAGAACTTGAGCAAGGACGGCTACCCGACTTATGGTCAGCATTCTCTTTCGTGAAGAACACACCAGGGGTCTGTCTTCGAGGGTATGTAGCCCAGCCCAAGGATCCCTCGCACTTCCTGCTCCCGCGGCCAATTTTGCATGCTGCTCTGAGTGCAAGAAATTGGATTGTTCGTCCCCGACCGCAGCTTGGCCATCTGCACATTTTTTTGGTACCTGTGTGCGTGCATTTTTGAGAGGTTTGGTGTAAGGAGAATGGCCTGCTGCTAGTATGCGGACGTCGTCGTGAGTGGCGTTCCACAAGTGGTAATGAACCAACTACCTTCGGAGAGGAGTGAGTTGCCTTCGTTTCAGAGTTCAAATCTGCGCGAGATTGGTAGTGTTTCGCAGCGCTGCAGTTGTTTGGACGTAGGGTCGAAGGGATGAGATGATTTGTGTATGAGGGATGGTTCTTTGGAGAGGAGAGTAGGGATAGAGGCGTTATTCTCATCGACGCATGTTGCAGATCGTTTTTCGACAGAGATTGCTGAAATTACATAATACGATTAGCCCAGTTTGGAACGTGTTCAGCTTCGAGTTGCTCCAATGTTCAATCGTACATCTCTTGTAGCAGTGGTCATGGATTGATACAGTTTCTCGCAGTTGGTTTACCCCTGCTCCATCACCGGACAAGTTGTCATGAGTTTCGTTGAGATTTCTAGTTGAAAGAGAATGTATCTATTTTCTATGCTTCCAGATTTAGTGTGAAGAATTTTTCGGTGAATTGCAGTAGTAGGTATAGTATCGCTTTGTTGCGAGAAATTTTGTACATATTTTTTACGCTTCGGTCATTTGACACATCAGTTACTCCAGCTTCGTTTCCTGCGCAACGAGGTTTAAATCGTAGCCGTGGTTTGGAGCTTCTGGTGTTGCACAAGGATGACGAAATGGCGCTTCTACTTCTACGCCACTGTGTTGGTCTTCCGATCTTAAAATTGATTAGATCAAGTTTGCGAGGTTGCTCTTTCAATGTGCTAGAATATCAATACGATTCCTGAACCTCCAAGTGCAGTGAGGTGTTTCAAACGTGTATGTGGCTATCGTTGTTAATTTCACTTGTTAAGCGAAGCACTTTTTCATTTAGCTGGATTTTGTGCCTTCTGACAATTCCTGTCGGTGACATTTGATCGCGCCATCTGCTTCATGCGCAATGCTCACCAGTCAATTTGATGCTGAAACATGGTTTGTTCCATATCTACAATAAATTCATGGCCCCTATCAGGGACATTTAGATAAGAAGGATAAGGAAACATTTGTCACTTATGATAGCTAAAATTTTGTTGAGACTTAGGATGGAGTAGTATGTTTTTGTCACAGGATAGGAGATTCCCGGAAGGCTTCCTTGTTCCCCAATTGTCTCTGGGATTATTCTTGTTTTTTTCCCTGCACTTAAACATATTTCAGTACATTTTACCATCAAGTTGCGAAAAGCCACTCCATAAAGTGTATTCCTATGGACTGAATTTTATATTATCATGTGATTTAGCACTGAAGTCTTCACCACGGACGTTATGATTGCACGTATATAAACACGAGTTTGTTATGTGGTATTCTTTTTCTTCTACAATTGTTGTTTCGTTTATTTATACATTGGTTTTACCTTTTATGCTTATTTTAAATACGTTTCTTCGTAGCTCTGTATGGCGAATTTCTTCTTCATTCTTTTGGTGCTTGTGTTGTGAGGGGAATATTTTTTTTTCAGACCCTTTAGGACCTTTCCGCTTCATCCATTTCACTCTCAAGTCGATATTGTCTTCAGAATACTCGTTTAGTTATAATCTCCGCATACGCAGTCAATCGGTGCTGTCTGTTCAAGAGATAGAAGTTCGCCTTTCCATGTATGCAGAGACAAAGGACCTTGCGCAGAAGTACAAAATTCTTAACAACAAACTTATGTTATGCTTTTTTCCAGGATTCCAACATCCGGGAGGACAGTGAAGTGCACAGATAATTGAGAAGCTGCTGTAGTTCTCACCTTTTTTTCGTGTAGAAGCTGATGAAGTCGAGTGCATTCACTTGTTGGCGAACACACATCAATTTTTTTTGTGGTTTAGAACTTGTTTTAGGTGATCATGAAATCATCCAGTTTCTCTACGAACTTCAAAAGAGCGATTTCTATAGGATTGGAAGCGGCTTATTGTTTCTCTCATGTAATCTCTCTTACTTTTCTGTCCTGATCAGAATGATGTAGCAGCGGATCACCACGTTATCAAAGTAAAAATGAGTGGGTCAGTGGACGAGCTTCGTATGTACTCAACATTTTCTGATTAATTGAGAGCTAGAGGCCACGATGCTTTACGTGAGGGACAACTTTGAATTTTTTCTGAAGGACGGAAGCCTGGGAGAAAGAGCGCTAATACCACAAAGGTCTCTGAGGTGTTTGAGCTGACAAGAAAATGAAACGCATGCGGAAGGCCAATCGATATGTACATTCATGAAATTCTCATGATTAGTTTCTCTGTAGTACGATAACTGCACTTTTCTTGCTGGCTACCTTGCGTACTCGACTCTACATGAAAGTGGTACTATGTTAGATTGTAGAGATTCTTGGACTGACGATCTCATAAGTGCGCTAGAGTTTGTTATGAATGTAAGCGGTGAAATGCCGCCACATTCTTGTGACTAGATTTTTTAAGCCGCAAGTCAAGAATATGCGATCTTTATCAATTAAGCAAGCAAAGCATATGCCAGAGTACCGAGCGATTTCCGAGAGGCATGACAATGCAGGTAGGTAGTACGAGTCGCTTCTGTTATAATTATGAGCAATGTTTCCCCTGTAGTTAGGATCGAGATCGAGGCTTCAAATTGTCTAGTATGCATGAGCAAGATGCTAGGGCGTGACAAAATTCTCAAGGTAGCCTTGTTGAGTTAATGTTTTATTTCGAAGACATGGAATTAAATTTTGGAGCCAGCTATTTGAATCTCTCTTCGAGTACTTTAAGAGATTCAACTTTTTAACCATCGTGTTGTGTACACTTTTTTCTGCCAGGATTTGTTTTAAAAAAGAGCGACGTCTTTGCTTTACAACCAATGTGGTCGAGTCACAACATTTGTCTAAAACGCATCTATGTGAGTTCCGCGTCCCGAGATTTATTATGCCTGGTGTTCTTCCCTTATTCTCGAGAGCTTCTTCATGCATGCAGGAAGCGACCTAAATAAGAATTGCCTTCTTCTCTAACAAACCATTCTTCTTGTCCTTCTTTTTGACTTATATCTTTTTCATTTTTATAGTGTGACGTTGTAACCAAGAATCTGCGGAAGCAATTCAACGTTTCACTGCCTCGTGGAGCTTTGTGATTTCGATAAGCAGTTGAATTATTTGAAAGTGATTGCTCAGTCTCCTAGGGACTAAGATTGTTAAGCTCTTGGTCACGTCCTCTATTGCTTGCTGCACATACAGGAAATCCTTCTCATAAGATTTGAATCCATCATAATACGCGGGTGGATCACGGAAAAGCACTTCTCAATGACACAGTTTGTAAACATGACGAGGACTTTTGCATGGATATGGATTCAAATTTTTGACTCATTGAATAGTTAAGATATCAAGATCACCAGGTTTCTTGGGTTTCATTCGTTCTGTCCTGTAAGTTGAGCTTATATGGGGGCCGATCTTAGCTGGCAGGTCAGTCGACCTGCTTTCCCGATCAATCAGAGGAGAATTTCGTTCTCCTGCTGCATGACTTTGGTGATATTTGTTGTCGAGGCGAGGTGATATGCAGGGAGAACTCTGTACGCAGCAATGGTAAAATTTGCAAAACAGTTGGAACTACAGTTGGTTCCAGAATGGAGAGGAGCCTACTGCCAGTACAAACTTTTAAAGAAGAGTTTAAACAAAATAAAACAGAACCCTTTGGATAGCCTAGATGGTCCTAAATTGAGCTCTAATTCTGAAAGCCCTCTGCAGCTTGGGCAGAGTTGTCGGAAGAGCTTTTGGTCTCATATTGATCTTATCCAGGTATCCTATTGATACTACTTCCTGCATTACAGACGTTTTCAGACTCTGATTTGAATACAACTCACCTGGGTGAGGATTCATTTTTGTTATAACGTGTTCTATCGGAGATGCATATAAACTTGTGGAGCACCAGGAAAGCTGGTTTGATCATATTTGCCCTTCATTTTTGTTTTACAGGTACATGATAGGAAGTCCGATGGTGGGGATCATTATGTTTACGAAACAGAGTTGCTAGGACCAATCGCTCATTCTGTATACGATCAAATCTTTTTTAAATGCCTAGATGCACAGCTCAATAAAGTAAACAACTTTTACGAACTGAAAGAGAACGAGTTCCTACAACGAGCTGCCATTTTAGATAAGCAGATATGCGCACTCTCTGGTGTGAAGAAGCTTCTGGAACAGGGCCGTATTAGACAATACGAGGATGGTGCTAGCGGAAGGCAATCTGAACTTGGTAAGTGTGGCATTATTCTTATTTTCTATAAATGTGCTCGGGCCATGCATGTTCTGTTTGATTTGAAAGAAACTCACACATGTTTAACTGATAAGATAATGCTCGTTTAGGGTTAGGTCTGCATTGCATTTATCACACGTTATATCTCTGTAGTTCCAAACATTCTTTATAAGCGCTTGATTCTAGCAACATGATAGCCATAATACATTTAAAGCTGTGACTTGTATATTTAAGTCATGATTTCTTCAGGGGACGCTTGGTCGAATATGGAAGCTGGCTTTTATGAACAGAATGACGAGCTGCTCGCGTCCATTGCTAAGGCTACGCTTGATGCAACTGGTTTGCCCAGCTTACCCTTGCGAAGAAGGACGATTGAACAGGCGGAGTTCAGTACTTCTCTTGGGTCCTCTTCAAGTTCTTCGTCAAGGACGGAGGTCCCTATTGGCAGTGTGTCTAGGAATCCAGTGACAACAAACGTAAATCATGTGAAACTTATCATTCCACGTACAACTCCGGCAGCTACTATTGCAGCACTTACACAGATGCTCTGTGATGACGTCTTCCGACAGTCTAAAAAGCCTTTAACAGTTTACAGAGAGCGACAAGATTACACCGTAAGCGAGAAGAAGGTTCAAAGTGCGACGCTCATGTTACGCGCGGCTTATGTTGAGTTCTATCGAGGGCTTGGTTTGCTGAAGAGCTACAGGTTGGAAATGTGTTGTTCCTGTTGATAATAGTGTTACGTAAAACACCTGTTGACGCGCATTCATATCTATGTATGAATGCTGCCTATACATTGTAACCTTATCTTACTCGACATGTTGGGGCTGTGACAGTTCATTGAACGTCCTTGCATTTGCTAAAATCATGAAGAAGTATGACAAGGTAGTTCAATTCTTCCAAAATTGATTTTCTTCTTTCTCACAGCACACATTCCTGCAGTTCGGTATTTGATTCATCTGTATACAATAGAACACTTGACATCTTTCATCGAATTCTGAATTAAATTTAATCATTTCTTCTGGATACCTGTATCTCGCAATCTTCTTTGCATCAATATTAAATCACGAATAGGTACTATAGCTATTTAAAGTGTCCATGGTTGTTTGTTGGCAGGTGACTGGCTTGAGTGTCGCTGAAAAATATATGCAGCATGTTGAGCGTACTTATTTTAACAGCTCTGACAAAGTAAGAGTTTTTCTCGAAGGAGGTGATCTAATGCTTTGAATTTTTCTTGTCAATATTATCGAATTCAGCCATTGTGTACGGGCTGGGTGTGTCGGTTGATTGGCTATATGTTGCAAATGTGCAAGTGATTCTAATTGCAAACTAAATCCAGTTTTTGATTGATGTATTTCTTTGTACACCACAGGTGATGGTACTTATGGATAAAGTTGAAGTTATATTTACGGAACATTTTACAGATGGCCATCGACGACAGGCTACGGCAGCTCTGAGACCGTCACAACAACCAGCATCCCATCATGTGACGTATTTCCTTGGTATAAGGATCTTACTTAATGACCATGGTGGTGTAATTCCTTGAGTTAAACATTGAACTAAAACTTGTAAATGCTCTTTGTGAAGCGAAGCAGTGGTCGAAATTTCGAACTTTTTAACTTTCATGAATGTGTCTATTAAGAAACATGCATCATTTCCAATTTAATTGGGTTCATATGCCCGTACTTTAGTCCTTCAGCTCTACAAAATGAAAACTCTTTACTAAGTAATGCTTTTCGTTTGAGATGTTTTTATTGGATTCGGGAAAGTCTTTGAAGAAGCTTAAGTTCAGTCATTAACATGATCCATGTCAAACAATATAGGTCATTTATAGCCTGATTTTAAGCTGTTACCAAGTTCAGCAGTATTGGTTAACAGGGCTTTTGGGCAGGCTTTTTTACTGGATGTTCCATGGCTCTTATGGCGGCATTCGGGATGCTTCTTCGTTTAGATGGGGATTACAACGACGAAGGCAGAGTTAGCTATCTGCACACAATATTCCCTACTTTCAGGTGTTGCTCAACATCTGGATCACAGTATCCAGCTTTAAAGTTTATGAACTGTCTTTTGATTTGCTTTGATAATCTGAGTATTTTAAACTTATAGAAGTATCAAAGCTATTCTATTATGAGTTCCTGTTATGGGTAACTTCAAGCTCTTTGTTGAAATTATCCTGGAGATTGTGTCCTCCACTCCTCATAACAATGGAATTTGTGGATGTTGTACATGGTGATAAACAGCATACTAGCGCTTGTCCTACTCCACATGTATATGTATGGTTGGAACATATTTTTATGGAGGCGTGCCCGTATCAATTATGCCTTCATCTTCGAGTTTTCACCTGGTTCTGAGCTAAGGTACAGGGAAGTTCTTCTCGTGTGTACAGCGTTGACCACTTTACTGATTGGAGCCATGGTGATTCACCTGAGTATTCATTCTACGCTCATTCCAGGACAAGCATCTCCTTATATTGATCTCATTCCTGTTGGTGTACTGCTGGTAAGTTATTGGTTCTCTACATGCTTGATTTGGAATGAGCTCCTGTGACTGGAGTTGGTTCTTAAGAGAGGAATTTTCATTCTCAAATGTATCAAATCTATCCAATCTTAATTTTTGGGTGGACCTGAGGCAGATATTTCTTGCGCTACTGTTCAATCCTCTTAATTTTTGTTACCGCTCTAGCCGGTTCTTCTTTTTGAACGTGATGCTACACATCGTCTGTGCACCCCTTTACAAGGTACTCATTCCTTGGCCTATCTTGTATCCATGTGCCTCGGAATCAAGTTGAATACTTTTTGCTTTAAAAAGTAGTCGTACATTTTTAGTATTTTTTAATATGACGCGGCTGAATGTTTATCATAGAGACCACAACGGTGTCTTGGGATTGTCTCAGGGAGTCACTTACACTGATATGTTAATCATTGAACCGGTGCTCTGATCGTTCCTTGCAGGTTGCCCTGGCCGAATTTTTCGTTGCAGACCAGTTGACAAGTCAGGTTGGACTCCCAGATTCATCCGTTAACGTCAATCTATTTTCGTTTCAGCTTGACCCGCGCACTCCATGGTTTATTAAAGATCTCTATTCAGGCATCCAAAGCATAATGCACATAACTCAGTAACATGGTGATGTTGAAGTTCCTGGACTAACCCCAGGGCATGGCAGGTGTCAACGTTGAGAAATCTGGAGTTCGTACTATGTTACTACTCTGGCGGATATTTTCTAAGTAGGGATAGCAATTCGTGCAATAACAGCAAACGGTTTGAACATTGGACATATGTCTTAGCATTATTACCTTATTGGTGGCGATTTTGGCAGGTATAATCATCCTACTGGAAATTGAAAATTCCTTAATTCTTATGTAGTACGGCTGAAATCCCCAGTCTGCAGAGTTAAGAAATAACTACGAACATAGCATACAAGAATTCTACATACAACCATGTTTAGGTACTTCATTATTTTCTAAGTAACTTGTGCACATCTTGCTGACAACACTGAGTCCCTACACCCGTGGCATGCTTTCGTCCTTTTAGATAGTTCAATCTTCTACAATGTATGATCTCTCTCTATCTTACATTGAAGGTTAAACTATCTCTTTGAAGCAGTGTTTCAGGCGCTGGGCTGAGGAGAATTATGAATCTATCCATATGGCCAATGCTGGGAAGTACTTGTCAGCCATGGCTGCAGTGGCGTTGAAAATAACTTACTCCAAGAACTCTGGGACAGGATGGCTTACCATGTTCTTCATTGCCTCCACAATTGCAACAGTTTATCAAGTGTATTGGGATACAGTAGTTGATTGGGGCCTGCTTCGTCGAGACTCGAAGAACAAGTGGTTGAGGGATGAGCTCCTTCTAGAGCGCAAGTGGATGTACTTTGCATCTATGGTATCAAGCTTCCTCGTCCTTAGAAAATTTAGTATATACTACTCTCTTTCATGCCTTAAAGGGCAACATTGAGAGAGGAACAAAAGAAGTTAGAAAGCCGTTTGTCTCCATATTTTGTACACTCTGAAGCATAACGATTAGTGGTTAACTGCCTGATTCAAGCATTGTCTTGTAATTATGCTTATGTATGTGCTGGTCACTGTATCTGCAGGTACTCAACATTTTGCTGAGGCTGGCTTGGATACAGTCAATGACACATCTGACATTTGGATCGCTAGACAGCTGCGTCATGGACTTCATATTTGCTGCCCTCGAGATCTTTCGTCGCGGTCACTGGAATTTTTACAGGTGCTCCATGCTTCCACACTTAATCCTCTTTGTTCTTTTCAGGTTTTTTCTTCCTTCCAATCATGCAAACAAACAAACAAACATTACAGTATGTACAGTTCTTCGTGACCCGATATCGTGCAACATTATAATTTCCTACCACTTATTCCACAATTGCTGCGCTTACCAAGGGATATACGTGCATGTGTGTAGGTTAGAAAACGAACATCTAAACAATGTGGGTAAATATCGAGCCACCAAGCAAGTACCGTTACCTTTTGAGGATACCACCCCAAAAATGTAGCAGATTAAATCTTCCTAAATATCAAATCGGGGGTTGAATAAATCTGCCTCAGGCTTTACAAATAACCTTAGCTGCCAATACCTAGCAATTTGTTTAGCTTTTGGCCTACATGAGACACAGATGCCAACATCATCAGACATGAATTTATCTCCATAGCTACACCCTTAGTGGGATATGCACAAAGCCGCAATCGCTTTATTCCGGACGTCTGGTCTTCACCATTATCAGCAACATTGCCTGAGCACCATTGTGCACAGACGATGTTCCCAAATTTTGTGTAACGTGCACCAAGTTTATATCAGAGTTTATGAAAAGCCTATCGAGGCCTTGACCTTGAGTGTTCAGCGCGTGCTTCGTCATTTTCTGGAAATTTCTTACTTAGTTACTAACCTTACCCAAAACTTTACTTTCTAGTGTTACCTGACCAGGCACATCAGCTGCGGTCAGTCTTCAACTTTACAACAAGCTTGCTTCGGCAAAGAAAATTCACATACAGTCTATTTTGTTATGATGAAGCTCTACATTGACGCCGAAAAAGCATCCTGCTGTCCCTCACATTGATACTTAATCTAGTCTTAATGAAAACGCCTCCTCCTCGTTCAAGAAGCTGTGAGAAGTGCTGGCTGTCCAAATGAATGCCACGAACGAAGACTCCCGAAATGAGAACTCACAGCTGCAAACACCGAGACAGGTATGAGTCGGAACTTGCAAATCAATACGTTGGTACCTCTGCGACTGAACAAATAGTTAATATGCAGTAAGTTTGGTACTGAGAACTGAAGAAAAGAGAAAAGCAACAGGTGTGAAAAAAGAACTTGCGTTTCAGATAAGTTATACATCTCACTTAGTAAATAAATGGTAGCTGACCATACTTTACTGGAGTCCCATTTAAAACTTTGCTGTGCGGACAGGGTCTTTTCTAGCATCTGATCTATACATAGCGACTTTCCGAAAGTTTCTGAGAAGTGAAGGAGGTTGAGGGGCACAGAACCCTGAACTAATCCTCTCAGGCATACATGAGAGTAGGTGAGATCCGAAACTTATTGACGACTGTTTGCGGCATACCTCATTTGAGAGCGTGGACGAGAACCAGTGCTAGACCTCGTGCGGTTATAACAAAGATCTGCAAAACGAGGACCTTGAAAACCATTTCTTTGCCTGCAGTTCGAAGAATTTTCCTATGTAACGATCAGACGATTGACTGTACGCAGCCCTGAAGTTCGTTTACTCGATACTTTTGGAAGTTCATTTCTCCAGTATGGATGGAGGACTGAGTTTCCCCAGCCATTATTTGCTTTCAGTTACTTTCCTGTTAGCCTCACTGAAGATTCTTCTGATGTCTGCTTCAGGGATTTGATTTCAAGGAGCTACTGCTTCATTGCCAGCATTTGAGGAGAACTACTTGTAGGAAGGTTGAGGTGAGAGGGCGTGTCTTTGTAACGCTGCTGAACCATATTAAAATTTTCACCTCACAACTTGCGCAATTTTGGGACGTCTGCAAAATCTTCTACCTTGATGGAAAACCCTCTGTAGCACTGAGGCATTACAAGAGAATGACTGTTATGAAGTATAAATAATAATGACCGAAAATTGCACAGATTTAAAAGTCTAAGAAATTCTTACTTAAAAAGTATTAATTTTTTTCACTTTAGTGGGAATGTGTGATTGGAATATATATTAATTATCAAGAACACATTATTTGCTAGTAAATTGTATCACCTTTTGCTTTTGGTTAATTCTTTTAAATCCTCAAATTTGTAGACAATTCTATGTAGCAGTAAAAAATTCATACCAAATAATCATAATGCTTTATTTTATTTATTTATTTATTATTTATAATATGTTAATAAGAAATAACATATTTCACTGAACCATTGTTAATGCAAACTTGTGTCTAATTATAATACCAAGCTTTTATTTAGTATGTAATTACCAATCTTAAACAATCTTATTGTCATAATTTATTTAGAATTCTTTCAATCCAAATGTTAATCCTAGATTTCACTCTAAATCCATGATCCTAAAAATCCTAATCATAATTTTTAATATTTTTAATTTAATTACCAAAGTTTATTACTAAGTCCTAAATTTTTTTCTTCAAAAAGGAAAAAAACGCTTGGTATAAAAAGCGTTTAGAGAAGAAGAAGAGAAGTTAGTACAACAAAAATAAAAATTTAGAAAAAATTATTATAAATAAAGAGGTGATTAGCCATCCATGTCTTATATACATACTAAATACACATGGCAATTAGAACCACCTTGAGATTGTATAACATTTAATATAGAAGAATGTTAAATAGACTTAAGTTTTTATTAAATCAATCCACTTATTCTAACCATCATGTAAAAAAAATTATAATTTTTAGATTTACTTTTCTATTATTAAATTTACAACCAATAAAAACCAACCACATTCATCATAATTACCATATTTTTCATGAAAGGTGAGTCTATTAAGTAAAAGCATAGATCTATTTAACATTCTCCTTAGTATATGCTACCTAATAACAACATCTTATTGATAAGCATCAAATAATTTGACTTGAATTCTATTGTTATTAACATCAATAAGTTCAAGTCATATCATTCTCTTGATAGCTTTCTTATGACATCCAAAATTAATAATACAATTATTAAAAGTTTTTTTTGCACCTATTATAATGATTTTTATTGTCATTACATCCAAAAAGCTACACCACTTTTCATCGATGCTGCCTTTGGACAACAAAAATCAAACAATATTTAATTGCTGTTTGTTTTTTTTTGTTTTGTTTTTTTTTTTTTTTCTTTTCTTTACCTTAAAAGTAAAAATTTAACAACTACCTTTATCTATTCCATTCAACCTCACTCACTATAAGAAGCAATATTGCCAATCTCAAGGCACATTTTGCTTTTATATACTATAAATTTTTTAAACTTCTTTACTTTTTCCATCCTAATTTATCACCTATTCTAAGTAAAGCATGTAGCAAAAAATATCCAAGAGTTTGAGAAGACCAATACTATTCAAAGTGTATAAAAGACATTACACATTGGGATGTAATCAAAGCGTTCCAATTCAACCATCTTATTGCTTACATAGATAAAAAAAAAAAAAAGAGAAAGAAGCTCAATAGATGCTACTTGCATCAAAAAATTAGATTTCACAAGCTTGTTTAAGATCAAATAGAGAAGAGTCATGGTACCTCACATGCATCTAATAAAAGAATCTATCAATACTACTATTGTCTAAGATGATTACATTTTAAGGTATATTCTCAATGAAATAATATCCATTATATAAAAAATTATCTTCACTATATTTCTTCTTTTAACCATAAGTTTATATAGTACCAAAGACACTATAAGATACAAGCTATTTGATAAACGTATGGAAGTAGTAACATAGGACAATAATTGCTCAATTAAACATTGCCTACATAAAGACAAGTTTTTAAAATAGGTCTTTGTCTAAACATTTGGCTTCAAAAAAGCCTTCATTACTTTAACAATGACAAGATATATATTTTTTTCTTTCATTAAGACTATTCAATTAAATATTATTAATTAGACTTAGTACTTATTTAAGAAATTTAGAAGAGAATTTTATATGTTGTAGAAGTTATCTATCACCTATGTATTTGCAAAACTATTAAATACAAATATTACAATGAAACATTTTATTTACAAATTCTTACATTTTACTTTGAATGATCAAGGCAAAAAAAATAATTTTTGTACTTAGAATGTTGAATGCTTTGGATAGCTAGATTATATTATAAGATAATGATAAAAATTCTAATAGAAAACGTAAGCAAAAAAATTCAAACTAGGTAATTTTTGTTTTTTACAAATACATTGAATTTCATCAACATGGCAAGAGTTTTTTTTATTTTTTTGGACCAATTTTTTTTTTAAAATTCTTTGAAAGTCTTTGATATCTTTATTGACAATGATTCATCTTTAAAACATCCAATCACCACATTACCAATATAACTAAAATAAATCACTTAGATTACACACAAAGATTGCAAACTTTGAAAAATTATCTATCAAAGTATTATGCAAAGATGCTATAAGATAAGTCCTATTAACACTATAATAACAATTTAAACCAATTGAATGTAACTTACAATAGATTTTACAAAATTTGATTCACCTACCAAGTTCAATGGCTATAGATCTTCCTATAGACAAAACAAACAAATTGCTCAATTTTTTCTATCACTTTTCTAATAACACATCTAATTCTTTGGCAACATCAAGTTTTAATTTTAATCTAGCTTAACCAACTCCAATCATATCAATTCTTAATCCTACTCTAATTCAATCAATTCTAAAATTACCATTTTTTAATCTTGATTTAGCTCAACCAACTTTAACAATACTAATTCTTAGTCTTTATTCAACTTAAGCAACTATAATAACATCTTAGCTCAATCCTAATTCAATTTAACCAAATTTACAAGATATATTTTTCAATATGTATTGTTTGGTATTTACAATAATCTTACATATTTAACAAATATACTTAACTACTAATCAAGAGACACTTGCCCTTAAGCCAAAAACAACCTCAACTAAAGATTTTTCTAGCTACCAAACACAAAGCATATATAAAAGATATTGTTCTAATAAAAAATTATTCAAGTGTTGCTACATCTTCAGCCAATTTTTAAAGCTCTATATAAATCCTTTAAAAGCATAAATTATTGAAAAATAAATTTATACATAATATTAGATCAAATTATAATTTTGTCTCTTTTTTAAACAATACCACCCTGATTTAAAGTCATCATTGGTCTCTAAAAACATATTAAGATCTTAGATTCTTAAGTAGAAAATACCTTCACCATAATTTATAGCCTTATCTACAACCATGCCAAATTTTTGATGTTTGTAAAAGAAAATTTGGTAGCAAAACTACAAACAAACAATTATTGATAAAGATTGTCAAAAACATATAGCAAACTTGATGGCTACACTTCCAATGGTTTATAAATGCATTAAGACATTAGAAGTTGAGTTGATAAAAAAACACACTATGCTTGCCTAAAATTAAGCTACTATTAATAAGGCTTAAATTTAATATAATTAAATTAAAGCTAACACAACATCATTTAAGATTTGCATATTCAATCTTAGAAATATACTTCAAATGATCTCTTATTATAACGTACATCCTTTGAAGTGCATATTGCTACTTCAAAAGACATATTGCAAATTGGCTTTGCCAACCAATAAATTCCAAATAATAGTTGAACACCACATCTTAGATATAGTGCAAATTAACAATGAAGAAAAAAATTGGCTTAAATCCTAGCTACTACATTCATATTTTTAAATATCCAATATTTTTATATTACTATAATTAAAGAAGAATTTTTGAATTTGCTCAAATCAATTCTAGCATATAAACTACTTCAGCAATTGCAAAAAAGATCAAACATCTAATATAATTTGAAATGTCATCTATAACTTCAATTAGGCATTGACATATTTTTTAAATAAAATTTGATCCATGCCAAATCATTAAGACCTTATGTTCCATCTCTTAAAAATAAAAATACTACAATTAAGAATTCAACATATAAAACAGTGAATCCTTTTGACCATTTGGAAGAAAGTGCAACTACATTATCTAAATGTTGCATTCTAATAGATACAAATCCAAATCAAGTCTAAATATTTTTAAGATCCCAATTTCTAATAAAAAACATTGAAGTCTATCATCAATCTTCTAGATAGTGATATAAGAAATATTAAAAGTTATACTTCAAATAAGATAGATGCAATGTGAATTGAAATAATTAATTAAAGATATTTTAAAATAATTGATTCAATAGAGAGATTTGAATCAATAGAGTCCAAAAATTAGAAAGTGAGTTAAAGATGTCTAATCTACAAATGACCCAAATCAATAGGGTTTTGACACTAATAGCCAAGTTGAAAATATCCAAGCTAAGTAAGAATCAATTGTTTTAAAATTTGGAATAGAAAAGATTAAACCAAACATTCATAGAAATATAATAAGCTACTAGAAATTAATTAAAAGAATATGAGTAACTACAAAGACTAAAAATTATAAGTATATGTATATGAAAAGAGAGAAAAAAAAAGAAATCAAATTGTATTAAGTGCTCAATATTAAATTAATGGTTTTTTTTACTACTATTATAGTTGATATAATAATTCACTTTAAATTAATATTGAATCTAAATTATTTTATCCAATACAATACTTTGTCTTTTTTCTAGTTTTTTTTATCAAGGTCTAATCCTTGTCATCTATCATAAAACCAAGTTATATATAGTTTAATCCAACAAGTAGGTACAAAACTCTCTCCAATAAGAATTTTGTCTAAAACTTGCTATATTACACCTAAAAAAGACTCTTTTTGAAATAATATTAATAAATAAATTTTTAATAAAAAGAATTATTACTTGGTATTGATTTAAGATAAAAACTTATCCTTCCTTAAGTAGACCTAAGTTAAGAAGGAAGCTTCAAATCTATCAAAATTTGAACATGTTTATGTGAAAAGTACCAAAATTTAGACTTTTAAGTTTTTTGTATATTAAGTTTTAATCCTCTTTTTTTAGGTAAAACATATTACTAATTTAACTATTTCTATTAATAAAATTATTATTTTTTCAGGATAAAATCCATGATTAATATTATCTATTTTCAAAACTAAAACTTGGACTCTAATTCTACTAAACAATAAGCTTTTATTTTATTTTTGTAGTGACATATATTATTGATTAACATAGTTCTATGAATCAATTGGCTATTTAATCAATTTAATATCTAAGTTTAACATAAATGTAGAGATATTTTTACCCTAAAATTATTTATAATAATTATTAACTAAAAAACATGAAAGTACTTTCAAAAAGACAAGTATAATAGATTATTTTTTAAAAAAAATCATATAAAATTCTTGGATTTTAAAATTTATATGATTTAAAAAAGTGTAAAGAGAAATACAAATCACAGTCAAAATTTAAAAATATAATACTAAAAAATTTGACTATGATAGATCTCTATATAACAAATCTTTATATTTTAGTAGGATGCTTATAATATATAAAATCACTTCTTAAAGAATATTTCAAAATTAACTCCTAATAAAATACTTATCAATATTGGATAAAAACTTAAGATACTTTTGAAATGATAAAATAAGAGGTTTTAGGAAATTTTTATAACTTTACAAGTTTCATGGAAGCAAAATTCTTTTTTAATTAAGAAAATTTTAAATTGTCAAGTTTAGAATGATGTGGCATTATTTATGTAGCTATAATCTATAAAAAACTAATTGAAGATAGATACATTTAAGATATTTTTACATTAATTATACAAAAGAATTTAGAATTATTTATCTTCAGTCTATAAACTTGTCAAGGATCTTACATTTAATATTCAAAAGAATTAAAAAAAATTTAATATATCTTCTATTCATATTTATATAAAAATATAAAATCTTCAAAACAAATCTTATTAATAGAAAATTTTGAAATTGATCAAATTATTTTCTTGTTTCTAAAATCTATGTTTGATAACATTTTGATAATCCAAGAAATCTTCTATTAAGCTAAATGCTTAAAACAATCCCTTATGTTATCAAATTTAGATTTTCCAAAATCATATGATGAAGTTTCAATGATCTTTTTGTTTTCTAAAATTAAAATTTTAAGATATAATCATAAAATTATTTTAAAAATTAAATAATCTAATAAAGAAAGAACTTGTATAAATTTAAATAAATATTTAGAAATTTATAATTAACAAAAAGATTAGAAATTTTTTATTGTTGGCACTATACTATTTATTATTATTATAAGTAAAGTTTTATATTTGCATATCTAAGATGCAATAGAAAAATTTCAATCAATAATAATTTATTTTAAAGAAATTTAAATTAAATTTTTTTGAGGTAATAAAAAAATGATTTGACATTAAGTATAAAAATAAGTGATTAAAATGGTTAGTATTTTTTATTTTTTATTTTATTTTATTTTTTTCTAAGCATTAAGACTTATAAAAAATGGCCTAAATCAGCCATATGTTGATTATAAAAAAATACACTAAGACCATAAAAGGAAAAAAAATAATTTGGTTGAGCTTAGGCATCTTTAAATAAATTCAATAATTTACTTTAAAATTCTTTTGAAATACCAATACACACTAGTAATGTGGACAAATTTTGAACAAATAGAATGAAATATAAGTTAGGGTTTTGATGTTTAACTAAATTAATTTTAAAAAATGTTTTTTTATTATAAGTAACATTTTATTAATATTAGTTTTTTTTTTCACATTAATTTAGATTGGATCTTTTAAAGCAAAAAAAATAACAACATTGGTAAGACACAATACAAAACTTAAAAGGAATAAAAACAAGCTTATATTTTGCAAATCCAAAGATGTACACAAAATAAGAATCATTATTCTAAAGGAAGTAATGAAGGCATTACAACTTGATTTTATGATTAGAGACTTTCATCTAAGAAATTTTGGTATCCAAAAATTATGCAATATAGAATAATACTAGCAAAACCAATTGTCTTAAGCAAACAAAAGTCCAGTTTTGAATGGGCTTTCATTGCTAATTACAAATAGAATGTAGGATCTAAAAATGAGAACTACATTGGCAAAGACTGGGCCAAGATGGTGGGCAGCGTCGAAGACGAGTAACGGAGAAGGAAATGAGGCTCTCACGCTTTCCACCCTCTGCAGTCCAAATTAGAGGACGAACCTGGCTGCTATGGATGAATATGAAAATCAAACACTCCTAAATTCGATTTGGACAATTGCAATTTAAGATGCATCTCCGCAATGCTGCGTCACTAGTCCTTCGTGTTGGTCCATACAGTGATTATTTCAATTGTTTTAACCCACATTTGTCTCCAAATTTGCAAAGCTATGGCCAACAGATGAATATTGCTTTGGAAAAGATGAGAAGATTATGCTTCAAGCACTCCTCTTACATGAGGAAAAGGTCTGCTACATGATCAAATCATCCGTCAACGTTGAAATTTCCCGAATCTCGTACTTATGGAAATTGCATAGTGCAAATGGTCCAAAATGATCTGAATCCTACACAACGCTGCCCAATTGCACACTGCAAATCGTTTACATGTATTGGGCAGTGCTGTGTAGAATTCCGATCTGAGATCATGTGAGCAGAATCGTGTTGTGTAAAGATGTGCCCGGCTGGCGTTCAGATTTTTTTCATCGTAACTATGAACATAAGAGTTCCACATAGATCATAGAAGAAAGCCTCTCTAGTACTCACTAAGTTTGTGGTATCCCAGTAACATCCGATAGAGTGTACAGTTTCGCTGATTGCAGCGTAGTGAACTACATATGCAGACCGCCCAACGGCACGTTCAAATCCTGATAGTGCTTGAACTCTAGGAAAAGAATAAAAGCATCAAGACTTCGTCGTGCTACCAGACAAAGAAGTTATGAGAAAGCATTGGGTATTCAGAAGCGGTGAGGACAGAGGTTAGAAGGGACGAATAACTGATAAAAAGACGCACTTCACATAGAACCTGGATTTACTAGAACATCTGTGGCAATGAATGCAATGTATCACTGCACTCTGTAGGCTATCTCAAAGCAGGGATAATTGACGATCTCGCCAGTTACAGAGGTTATGTGGGTGCATGAAGCTCATCCTGAGATTTGGATCGCCTTGTATTGCTGCATCGTGCCGGCAATTGCTTCTTCAACTGGCAAACGCTCCATGCTTGATGCTCCATAAAACCCATGAACATTCTTTGTTCTTTGCAATACATACTCTGCTTCCTTTGGTCCAGATATAGGCCCTGCAACATTATTCATGGTCATTTTGTTGTGCAGTGATAAGGGTCTCATACAGGATAAAAAATTATGTCAGAATTCTTCTCGTGAAGTAGATTAATATCAAGCCCTTGCTTTTGAAAATCACAGTAAATATTTGTGGGATGAGTTCCCAATAAATGGGTAGGCGAAAGAAAACACTCACCACCATGGCAGAGTACAATGATCTCTGGATTGACTTCATAAGCTGCGTCGGCGATTGACTGTACGCGTCTCACACTATCTTCCAATGAAACTGCCGTCTTCGCCCCGATGGAACCAGCTGTGGTGAGACCCATGTGTGCTACTACGATGTCAGCTCCGGCCATCGCCATGGCGTGCGATTCTTGTGAGTTAAAAGCATACGGGGTAGTCAAGAAACCCATCTCATGCGCTTGTCGAATCAACGTGACTTCAACACTGCAGACACCCATCCGTTTCCAGGGCTGAATCAACTTCCTAACATGTAACTATAATATCCAATTCAAAGAATATGCAATCACTATCACAAGGAGATGAAGCGGAACGACGCCTTTAAAGTTAGGATACATAGAATGAAAGTAGAGGACCTTGAGGTAAAGCATCGTTAGGGAAAGCCTTCACAATTCTAAGCTTACAGCCTTCACGGTGCGTTCAATTGTATCATTGCAAATAAATAAAATGGTCCGACCGATTTACCCATAGCCCATGCCCGTTTCCTCCAGATTTTGCCGGAAATTGCCATCAATAAGGCCAACTGTGGGAAAGTTTTGAATACCGTCAAAGCCCAATCGCTCCAGCTCAACCAAAAATCGATCCATCCGCCGGAAAGGGTCTGATGCACACACTCCTGCCAGTACTGGGACTCTTTTCACCACCTTCACATCAATGGTAACTTTTAACATCTATGTCGGCAGAGATCTTGATACGCAATTTCAAGATAAATATAGTAATATTAAAGTCAAGGTCACATACATCGTTGGAATTGCTCACAGAAAGGATGAGGTATGAACAAACGTACAGGTAAGACCTCCGATGCCATTTCAAGCACCACAGCATTCGCATCCTTGTAGGGCATGAGGCCAGCCAAAGATCCGCGACCAGCCATCCGAAAACGTCCAGAATTATAAATAACTATAAGATCTGCACCTCCTTCCTCTTCAAACTTTGCAGAAATTCCAGTACCAGCCCCAGCACCTATGATAGGTATTCCTCGAGAAATTTGATTCTTCAGCTTTTGCAGTATGTTAGCCCTATTCCTTAACGTTTCTGAAGAGAAAAGAGAAAACTAATGAGCATGAAAATGCAACACAACATTGCAATACTCTACAATAAGGCCATGTGCAAGATTAAACTGAACATAAATAGAACTGCTTCTATTTGAACATCCACGCAGATACTTTCACTCAAATAGGTTTTTCTACAATTTCAAACCTCACCATGGAGTAAATAAAGTAACAGCATGACCTCAACCATCGCTTAGGATCCTTCGTCAGTACGTAAGATAGACAAAGAAAACCACTATCATGCCATTTAGGAGCATTATATAAAGCATTAAGGTAAATATCGAAGAATAGAAGACCTGGTTTAGCTCGTGAAAAATCAGTTGGGCTCCTGATGAGTTTTGGCTTTATGGTTTGGATATGCAAAGACGGAGAGGGTGAGACTTCCCTTTGCTGGGACGCACCACTGGCATGGTGCAGTTCCAGAAAGGCAGCTACAAGTGCATCGGAAAATTCGTGATCGTTGATATGATATGGCAGCCTTTTCACCTGAAATTCACAATAGAGGTGAGTGTGAATGTTACGGAACGATCTTGGAGTGAGACATGAGGTCAAGGACGACTCCCCCCTAAGGGTTGAATCTGAAAAACAGTAGATCTAAGACAACCTAAAACAGCACATGTGACTGTAAAAAAGCTCTCATTTGAAACCATCACTAGGCTTCAACCACCACTAGAGAACTTTCATTCCGAACGGACATTGATATCCGTAAATTGTATGGCAATAGTAACCTGCCAACTTGGGACTAGACTGGACCTTATGTTTCTCACTCAAGTTTGACAAGCTGAGAAAAACTTACTTTTCTTTCTGGAGTCTGTTCAATAGACTTCTCCAGTTCCTCCAACAATGCACCTGTTGCTTCAGGATTATAAAATGCTTGCCCCTCCGCATCCAGGGCTGACACGCCCTTCTCTGGCAATAACACTCGCAGGGGTGCGGCAGAGTGATTCAACTTTTCTGCTATAAATTTTGCAGCTTCCCGATTCTCTTCAATGGTTGTCCGCATCACGGTAATCTAAAACCACAACACCTGAATCGTAAATTTAACTGACCCTTCAAGCAAATAAACTACTCTCGGAGCAAGTAATGCTTTAGAGATTGATCCAGGAGAACCTCTGCAGGCTATCTCTGACCACACCAGGGATCCCGTCAGCTACCAAAGCAAGCACATGCAATCTAGGTCAAATCCCTGTATAGAGCAACTTCAGCGGATTTCTATGTAACCAGCCGAAAGTACTGAAAGCATCAAATTTCAGCTTTACCTGCTCATTGTGGACGTGAAATTGTCGCTTGGAGAATTGCTCAGGCACAGAAGATTTGCTACCGAAGTTGACCATGTCCAAGGCACCAACAGAGAGCACTAGAGGAATCCGTTGCTGCAATATAGCTTGAAATCGGTTTGGACCACAAGCCATGATTCCTCCTACAATGTAATCCGCAACCTCTGTAGTTGTCACATCAATCACGCCCTACACAACAGGACAATGATAGACGTACATGAGATACGTAAGCTCGGGTACATGTAGTGTGTACTTCATCTTGCCGAGATATAGCAAAAGGGAAAAAAAGAGAAAAAAAAAAAAAAAAAAAAAAAAAAAAAAAAAGGAAAGAAAAAAAGCTACTACGCGGAGAAACACGCTGCGTGACGTACTTAACTAGACTTAAAACATACAAACTCGCGCACTAAACACTTATACCTGGACAAGACCCTGGGCAACCAAATTCTCCATGGCTCGTCCCCCTGTACCGGTGGCATGAAATACCAGTGTTTCATACCCATGCTGATCAAGCTTGGCCCTGACAGCATCAGCGCATGGAGTAGTCACTCCGAACATAGTAATAGCGACAGTCGGCTTTGTAGAAACAGTTCCTTTCTGACCAATGGCATGCTCACAAGTAGCGACCATACCAGCTGCTGCACCCGCAGCATTCGCCAGCACAAGACGGCTCAATGTATTGAGTCCTGCATTAACAGCATGGGTTAACAACATGCGTTCAATCCCTCATGAACCACAAGATTGCACACCAGGAACGACCACATTGTCAATTTAACAAAATCAGTACTGATGTAGCGATCACTGATACATTCTGAGCTGACTTAAAATAAACTGTTACAGTGTCAGCCTAATGATCTGGTCGAGACAAAATAATCTGGATTCTGAGCCTGGAGAAATCATAATCCAAATCGGCTTGTGCTATGTGGCAGTCAACTGATTTTTAGATGCTTCTAATAACAAAGTGTAAGCAAATACTAAATACGGATGAAAGTGATACAGGGTAAGGATGAGCAGAACCTGCAATATCGACAACTGAAGGAAAAAGGACAAGATCGGTAGTTTTCACATAAGCAGCAGTATTTCCACTAGCCACTGTAGAGATCAGGACTTTAGGTACTCCTAAAGGAAGAGCCCGAAGAGCAGGAGCGATAAGCGCAGTTCCACCAGAGCCCCCGACACCAATGGCGCCGGCAAGCTTCCCATGTGAGTGTGACTTTTTAAGAAGGTGCACAAGGGCTAAGCTCAAAGTGGCAAGCGCTTCGTTCCGCTCCCTTCCAAGAGATGAAATCGTCAGCTCGTGGCCATCTGGATGGTTCGAAAGCACTTCCTCATTGCTTATGTTGGAGTGATCAGTGCTGCTTGGAGTTTTCAGAGTGGTTGAAACATCCACCACCACAACTTCAATCTGCACACAGAAACACACACACACACGCCAGGGAATGGATTGTAATAGTAGGATGCATTCAACCATGTACATCTAAAATAGTCCCAAAATGTATTGCAGTCAAAACCATTCGCAAGCCACTATTGCCATTAACATTCCTTAGCGTTAACAGTTAAGCCAACTAACAAGCTTCTGTCGATTCTTTGCAAATTTACCGATGCATCGGAACTGGCGTGCTCCACAACACCCAACTGAATGAAGGAGCACAAGACTTTGAATGTTTCAAAGCAGAGCAACTTCATTCAACATCAGAAGCTCAATCAACGCAACCTAACGATTCTCTAACCAATGCCTCACCGAATCGCTGAGACCTCAGCATAGAATCCAGCAAGCAGGGTTTGACTTGCGAATTAGAAAAGAAACAAAGACGACCCATTCTCAGAATCCGATCACCCAATTCTCAGATCTCTCATCGAACACAAACCCACCCAATAACATAGCTTACATTATCAAGCTGGAAGCGCGCGAGAGCTGATGAAAGGCATTCCGCGAGGAAGTGAATCTCGGGGCCCTTCGTGTCCAAGGTACCAATACAGTACAAATTCTTCGTCGCCCCTCCTCGTTCTGGCATGGTGTACCCCTGGTTCTACCCCGAACACCTGAAGCGGTCCCCCGTGGTAGCTAACCCACAAAAAAATCCTTCCTCTTACTCTTTCCTTCCCCTGCCTGTCCCCAGCTTCAATCTCAAATCCTACCAGCAACCCAATAGCAACGACTTCAGTTCAGTGTCAGCGATCCGAGTTCTCTCATCCGAGGAGTGTGCAAAGATTGTATAGGGGATCGAAGGAGAAAAACCCTGCCAAGTAAAACCGCGAGGGAGGGGAGGGGAGGGGGTAGAGGGACAGATCCTGGTGCAAGGAAAGCGAGGAGTGCGTGCGTGCGTTCGAGAAAGAGGGCGCGGAGACGAGGATGCGATGATTCCCGGTGCCAGCTTGCACCTGGTGGGGGACAATAAAAGAGAAACCTAACGAAGAAGAAGAAGAAGAACGCGTGTTCACACGCCCCGATGGATGATGCACCGAGAGAGAGAGAGTTGGAGACAGACGGAGAGACGGGGGAGAGCGAGCGAGCGAGAGAGATCAAGAGGTTAGGGGAGTAACTAAGTGGCTTTGATTTGATTGCGATTGTGGCCATCTCTTCCTCCATCCCACTGCTTCCTTCCTTGCATGCTTTGCAATGATTGGTGTGCTTGCGATTGTGCCACTGCCGCGACCGGGTTGCCTGGCGAACCTGATCAGACACGTGGAGCCGGAACATCGGAATGCGAGCTAGAGCGATGGCGGATCGCAGTTCTTTCTGCCCGTTGGCGGCGTCGTGACGCTCAACGTCGGCGATGGGCCCCTCCTCCCCAGTCTCAACGTCGTGAGGCTCAACGTAGCAGTGGAGGTGTGTGATGAAAGGAGGTGAGACTTGGGGAGTGGGGGGAGTGAAGAGGAGGAGGAGTAGGAATTGGATATTATTATTATTTTGGCCCATTCCCTTCAGTAGTTATGTGAGTGAGTGCCTTTTTGTATTGCATTGCTTTGCATTTGTGGAACTATTGTTATATTAGGTCAAACTCCATTCTTATATTGTTGACAAAATATGTTGACTTGATGAATTACATTTATCCCTCAGATCTACATATACATTTGAAAGTATTTATACTTGCTACATCAAAAATGGCCTCATCTTTTGTTTACACTAGATCATGGATATTTGAATGATCCATACACAACATGGTGTCCAAGCCTAAAGGCTTTTGGGTAGAGAAAAGGACTTATGGAGCTTTACTCCAAGATCCAAGATTAATATAGTGTAGTCTTTTAAGTTTTATGCAATATAATCTTTCTTTTTTTAAAAAAAAATTAAATAGACAAATGTCAAACAAAAGAGACTTAGAGAGAAAGAAAAATAGAAAAAAAAAAAAAAAAAAAAACTTGAAGAAACTACATCATATGAATTGATATTAGTTATAGACATAGAAGAAAAGTCATTGGGAGATCACGTCTTTCATCTAAAGCTACAATTATACAAAATATCAAATTATATTAGCAAGAATATTTGTGAAGTTGGAGAATCTAACAAGCTAGAAGGATTTGTTGACTATTATATATGGTACATCAAGATGGATGCAATCTTAAAGAAAAAAATGGCTACAGGGACTAATCTAAATCAAAAAATCTCTTTCTAAGTTTTTTTTTTTTATTCTAAAAAGAATAGTATACAACTTGGACAAGTTAAATGAGGCAAAGGCAAGAGTTTGATTTGCACCCATTTTACATATCTTTAACAATTTGATAATATTTGTTACTCTCAAATAAGATCCATTAGAGGATTTTGAAATTTTATAAATGCCACAGATATATATATATATATATATATATATAGATAAGAGATTTTTCATAGATGATAAATATAAATAGATTTGATAATATCTTATAGCAAAGCTACTTAAAAGCTTTATAAACACATATTTGACTATATACATGTTTGTAGTTGATTGATAGGTTAAAAACTTGGCCAATAAATTAACCATATGTCATATGTATTAATAACTTGTGGTAAAAGCTTATCATATAGAGTACATATAAGAAACTTGTTTTGTAAGTTAGATACATGTCTCACAAGTTGTACACATATTGGAGATACTATAGAACATTGCTATGTAGTTCATAGTTAGATAGTATATGTGTCATGGACTTACACATGTAAGCCAGTAATTACCTATATAAATAGGTAGAAGTAGATAGAAGTATGTAAAAACAAGTTAATTTTGTAATATCTTCTAAGAAAGCTTTTTAAAAGCTTTTAAAAACTAGATGTTGATACCTGGAGAGGACTAGGTAGGAACTAGGATTGAAATCAGACCTTGAGGCACAAAACTGAGTCTTGACGACGATTCTAGGACTCTTTGGCAGATCAAAGAAAAGAATTTGATAGAAGATTGGATAGAGTTTCTATGAGCATTGATTTTGGGTGGTTTGGATCTGTATTGACTTTGTAAGAGCTTTGCAAAGTCAAGGTTTGTTTTGGATGACTTGGGTTTTGTGAAATAAAATAGGGTTTATGTTTTGGATGATTTCAAGAGTTTTGCAATAGATTTAGAGGTGAAATTTTGTGGATTAATGGTTATAGTTGTGTTCAATATGTGTTGTAAATTTGAACTTGATCTAACGGTCAAATTGAGGATTATTGAGGTTTAAGTGAGTCAAGATCTTAGAAATTAGAATTTTAGGTCTAGTAAGGATTTTTGAGATTTCTTGCAATCTACTAGTTGGATTGGAGTGAAATTTATGTGAGAGGATATTACACTTATTTTTCTATGTATATGAGAATTTTGAAATCAATCGAATGGTGAAAAGAAGAGATATTGGCTCTCGAAGATTGGAAACAAGTTTGGAGAAGGAGGTCGACCAATATCCAAGCACGTTTTTGAGATTATCGTCTGTTTGGTAATTTCGATCCTTTTCAAAAATTTTGTGATTATTTTCAACTTAGTTTTTAAGAAGTTTGCAAAATTTGAGTCAAGTTCAACGGTTCATTCATTAGTTATTGAGGTTTAAATCTATTGTAAAAATTATTAGGATTTGATTAGGATTTGGTTTAGGGTTTAGAGTTTGGTTAGGATTTGATTTAGGATTAGGGTTTGATTTAAGATTTATGGTTTAGTTTAGGATTTAGGATTTTATTATGGTTTGTTAGGATTTAAGATTTAGTTAGTTTTGGCCTAAAGTTTGAATGAAGTCTAATAAGATTTTAACTAGGATTAAATTAAAATTGAATTGACATGTATTTGAGATATATTTGTGATCATTTTAATATTTCTTTAAGATTTTTTATTATTTCTTTGAAATTTCTTTGAAGTTTCTTTGAATTTGATTAAAGCTTGTTTAACATTATTAGTATTCTATTAGAATTAAGATTTTGTTGTTACAATTTCTATTCTACCTTCCATAGCCAGATACCTGGAGCATTCTCAAACAAAACTTTATATATTACGACAACGGATTTCATTGGTTTATACATCATCTTCCAATTCATGTCCTTGATAGATTGACAAGAGTATACTTACAATATCAGAGCTTTGTCTTGTCTTAATTAAGAGTAGATTACTCCTTTTTTCATAATAAGATATAAGCATATTAAAAATTATGGATTACTCTCTTCTAAATTGATATTGTTCTTAGTATTTTCTTTGTCCTCAACTCATTTCTTTTAATTATCTTGAGTAATATTAGATATTTTTTTGAGTGTAATTATAGCAGAGCTTGTTGAAATGAAGAGTGCAATAGCACAAATGCAAGTACAATTGAGGGAGTTGATGCTTGCAATGCATCAACTTAACTTACAATCTTAAAGATCAACAAGAATGGTAGGAAGTGAAGATATAGAGATGATTAAAGCTGCTTCAACATTTGCACCAAATCATATCCTTCTACCCACAGTGGAACATCCTTCAAGTGTTAGAGAACTAGGAGTTGTCCTGCTCGAGAAGTTTGATGATATAAGATTCAAATTTCAAGGATGTATCAATCAAGTACAACTTGTGATTAAACTTCAACATCAAAGCTATCCATTTTTAGGATCACAAGTTAGATTAATTGGTACACTTCTTTCAAGTTTAGCACTATTTTAATTTTTCATCTTTTCTTGAATGATAAGATCCAATATTGGATAATTATGAGGTATTTTTGGTAAAATTTTAGTCCATGTATGGAAAACATGATGCAACTCGTGTTGCAACCAATAAGTTCCATATTTTGTAATAGAAAAATTGATTTGTAACATTATATGCTTCAGAGTTTTGACAACTTGTAATTGATATTAAATGGGATGATATTGCATTTATTAGCCAATCTTTCTATGGATTGTAATATGAAGTAGAGAAATTGATGTTCAACTTATCTAATCCTCACACATTGAGTCAAGCAATTGACTTTGCTGTGAAGTGCAATAATTGACTTTTTGAACTTCGATCTGAGAGTCGTACAAGTGGGCCTCAATGTTATTATAATTTGATAGCAACACCAACACCTCTTCAACACATACATTCAAAAGTAGAGAATATACAAATTGATGCAGTGTGTTTTAAACCTCTTATCAAGCAAGAAAAGACTCATTGCTATTAAAAAAGATTGTACTTATATTATAGAGAACCTAAATACAGTGCTCAACATTGTCCATAGACGCGACAAAACCACAAAATGACGAATATTGCTATCAAAAAAGATAATGTATTAAAAAATAAATTTGTCCTACTATAATAGAGACGATGCGGCTAAAATCTTATATAATTTCTAATGAAGGTCCTATCCTCTCCTTAGAATCTTGTCTTTATTTTATAATAGATGTGTATTTAGAACATAATAATGATAAAGCCTCTACCTTGATAGATTTAGGAGCCTCAGCTTGTTTTTTAGATGTAGAATTTGTTAAAAGTCATAAAATATTGTTAGTACAAAAAACTAAACATATTTATGTAGAATTCATAGATAGTCATCCGTTATCTTCTGGAGATGTTATTTATAAAACACTTTCTATAGATGTAGCAATAAATGGTCATAGTAGTTGCATAATCTTTAATATAATTAGATCTCTCTTAATCTAGTCATTTTAGGTTTATCGTGGATAGAAAAGTATAATCCTTGGATAGAAAAGATTAGATTTCTCGTACTCTTGACTTCTCTAAAAGTATAACTAAGAGTGAAATTAATCAAGTAGAAAGTCATAAATCTAGTACAATAAAACTTGTATTTATAGATATGAGAACTTTCTTACATGTTGCAAAAAAAGGATCATCTTGTGTCATTTATGCCACATCTATTTCTAATAATTCAAAGACTTTGAGTAGTATTCCAAGCCAATATCAAGAGTTTCAAGATATATTTGAGAAAAAGAATGTGGATACTCTTTTAGAACATCGTCCCTATGACTGCTTAATTGACCTTTAAGAAGAAGCACAACCGCCATTTGGAGCAATCTAGAGTTTAACACAAAATGAATTGGTTGAATTAAAGAAATATAATAAAGAGAATTTGGCTAAAAATTTCATACGCTATTCCAAATCGCTAATAGGAGCTACAATCTTATTTGTGAAGAAGAAAGATGGATCATTGTGGATGTG